GTTTATAAAGAACTGGTTTTCCAGAATGCTGGAAAGCTGGAGACAGAGAATTTGCTCAGGGACACCTAGGCAATGGCTCTATTTCTTCTCTTGAAGGATGATATAGCCTTATTGACCTTGAATTGGGTTCAAGAATTAAAGGAGTCCAACATTTGTAGACATTCCCTTAAATGGAAGTGCATTTACCATGAACATATCAATTTTTCTGGGGTGGTAATGTAAACCTTGCCTATTTTGTACAGGTTTTTTGGTTTGGTTTGTTTTTTGTTTTGTTCTTAGCTCTTGCAAAACCCTATTCTATGTCGACATGTTACAAAAAGTTTAATATTCCCAAACCCCCACCATAGTACCAAGGTCCAGGAAAAACCAACCACAAAATTTGCTGCACTGTCCTGCCCTGTGTTCTGCCGGACTTCTGTATATTTCTGCATTCCTGGCTAATTAAATCTGAAACTCCCTCTAATTATCCAGTGGGTGTGTCGCTGGCCTTTCTTATTTCTTCTCTCATTCCCGCAATTCTACAATTGACCTGAAACACTTCTTTTCAAAGCAGTTTGCATCAGCAGAAAAATCCAAAATACTGAATATTTTTAATAACTTTAAAGACGTTCTCTTCTAATTCTAGGATGCTAAAAGCTTTCATCATGAATGAGCACTGAAATTATTAAGTGCCTTTTGGCACTTATTGAGAGGAGAATATTTTTTCCTTCCTTAATTCTGTTAATGTGGTAAATTATATTAATAGATTCCTTAATTAGATTAGCTGTTACCTAGAAATAAACGCTACTAGATTATGATGTGCAATTATATATTTATATATAATATATTGCTTTTTGATTTGTTGAAATTTTATTGGGGGGTAATAGAGGGCTAAAAAATTAAGAGGCACAAACTATTATGTATAAAATAAACTACAAGGATATGTTATACAACAAAGGGAATATAGTCAATATTTTATAATAACTATGAGTGAGTGTTAGTCACTCAGTCGTATCCAACTCTTCGCAACCCCATGGACTGTAGCCTGCCAGGCTCCTTTGTCCATAGAATTTTGTCCAGGCAAGAATACTGGTGTGCTCCCAAAACAATCAACTTCACCTTTTTCTCAAGTGCACACGGAGCCTTCTCCAGAATAGATCACATCCTGGGCCATAAATCTGGTCTTGGAAAATTCAAAAAAATTGAAATCATTCCAGTCATCTTTTCTGACCACAGTGCAGTAAGATTAGATCTCAATTACAGGAAAACAATTGTTAAAAATTCAAACATATGGAGGCTAAACAACATGCTTCTGAATAACCAACAAATCATAGAAGAAATCAAAAAAGAAATCAAAATATGCATAGAAATGAATGAAAATGAAAACACAACAACCCAAAACCTATGGGACACTGTAAAAGCAGTGCTAAGGAGAAGGTTCATAGCATTACAGGCCTACCTCAAGAAACAAGAAAAAAGTCAAATAAATAACCTAACTCTACACCTAAAGCAACTAGAGAAGGAAGAAATGAAGAACCCCAGGGTTAGTAGAAGGAAAGAAATCTTAAAAATTAGGGCAGAAATAAATGCAAAAGAAACTAAAGAGACCATAGCAAAAATCAACAAAGCTAAAAGCTGGTATTTTGAAAAAATAAACAAAATTGACAAACCATTAGCAAGACTCATTAAGAAACAAAGAGAGAAGAACCGAATTAACAAAATTAGAAATGAAAATGGAGAGATCACAACAGACAACACTGAAATACGAAGGATCATAAGAGACTACTACCAGCAGCTCTATGCCAATAAAATGGACAACTTGGAAGAAATGGACAAATTCTTAGAAAAGTATAACTTTCTAAAACTGAACCAGGAAGAAATAGAAGATCTTAACAAACCCATCACAAGCAAGGAAATCAAAACTGTAATCAGAAATCTTCCAGCAAACAAAAGCCCAGGACCAGATGGCTTCACAGCGGAATTCTACCAAAAATTTAGAGAAGAGCTAACACCTATCTTACTCAAACTCTTCCAGAAAATTGCAGAAGAAGGTAAACTTCCAAACTCATTCTATGAGGCCACCATCACCCTAATTCCAAAACCAGACAAAGATGCCACAAAAAAAGAAAACTACAGGCCAGTATCACTGATGAACATAGATGAAAAAATCCTTAACAAAATTCTAGCACACAGAATCCAACAACATATTAAAAAAATCATACACCATGACCAAGTGGGCTTTATCCCAGGAATGCAAGGATTCTTTAATATCTGAAAATCAATCAATGTAATACACCACATTAACAAATTGAAAGATAAAAACCATATGATTATCTCAATAGATGCAGAAAAAGCCTTTGACAAAATTCAACACTCATTTATGATTAAAACTCTCCAGAAAGCAGGAATAGAAGGAACATACCTCAACATAATAAAAGCTATATATGACAAACCCACAGCAAGCATCACCCTCAATGGTGAAAAATTGAAAGCATTTCCCCTGAAATCAGGAACAAGACAAGGGTGCCCACTCTCACCACTACTATTCAACATAGTGTTGGAAGTTTTGGCCACAGCAATCAGAGCAGAAGAAGAAGTAAAAGGAATCCAGATAGGAAAAGAAGAAGTGAAACTCTCTCTGTTTGCAGATGACATGATCCTCTACATAGAAAACCCTAAAGACTCTACCAGAAGATTACTAGAGCTAGTCAACGAATACAGTAAAGTTGCAGGATATAAAATTAACACACAGAAATCTCTTGCATTCCTATACACTAACAATGAAAAAACAGAAAGAGAAATTAAGGAAACAATACCATTCACCACTGCAACAAAAAGAATAAGATACTTAGGAGTATATCTACCTAAAGAAACAAAAGACCTATACATAGAAAACTATAAAACACTGATGAAAGAAATCAAAGAGGACACAAACAGATGGAGAAATATACCATGTTCATGGATTGGAAGAATCAATATTGTCAAAATGGCTATTCTACCCAAAGCAATCTATAGATTCAGTGCAATCCCTATCAAGCTACCAACGGTATTTTTCACAGAACTAGAACAAATAATTTCACAATTTGTATGGAAATACAAAAAACCTCGAATAGCTAAAGTAATCTTGAGAAAGAAGAATGGAACTGGAGGAATCAACCTGCCTGACTTCAGACTATACTACAAAGCCACAGTCATCAAGACAGTATGGTACTGGCACAAAGACAGAAATATAGATCAATGGAACAGAATAGAAAGCCCAGAGATAAATCCACGAACCTATGGACACCTTATCTTCAACAAAGGAGGCAAGGATATCCAATGGAAAAAAGACAACCTCTTTAACAAGTTGTGCTGGGAAAACTGGTCAACCACTTGGAAAAGAATGAAACTAGAACACTTTCTAACACCATACACAAAAATAAACTCAAAATGGATTAAAGATCTAAATGTAAGACCAGAAACTATAAAACTCCTAGAGGAGAACATAGGCAAAACACTCTCTGACATAAATCACAGCAGGATCCTCTATGACCCACATCCCAGAATATTGGAAATAAAAGCAAAAATAAACAAATGGGACCTAATGAAACTTAAAAGCTTTTGCACAACAAAGGAAACTATAAGCAAGGTGAAAAGACAGCCCTCAGATTGGGAGAAAATAATAGCAAACGAAGCAACAGACAAAGGATTAATCTCAAAAATATGCAAGCAACTCCTGCAGCTCAATTCCAGAAAAATAAATGACCCAGTCAAAAAATGGGCCAAAGAACTAAACAGACATTTCTCCAAAGAAGACATACAGATGGCTAACAAACACATGAAAAGATGCTCAACATCACTCATTATCAGACAAATGCAAATCAAAACCACAGTGAGGTACCATTACACGCCAGTCAGGGTGGCTGCTATCCAAAAGTCTACAAGCAATAAATGCTGGAGAGGGTGTGGAGAAAAGGGAACCCTCTTACTCTGTTGGTGGGAATGCAAACTAGTACAGCCACTATGGAAAACAGTGTGGAGATTTCTTTAAAAACTGGAAATAGAACTGCAATATGACCCAGCAATACCACTTCTGGGCATACACACTGAGGAAACCAGATCTGAAAGAGACACGTGCACCCCAATGTTCATCGCAGCACTGTTTATAATAGCCAGGACATGGAAGCAACCTAGATGCCCATCAGCAGATGAATGGATAAGGAAACTGTGGTACATATACACCATGGAATATTACTCAGCTGTTAAAAAGAATTCATTTGAATCAGTCCTAATGAGATGGATGAAACTGGAGCCCATTATACAGAGTGAAGTAAGCCAGAAAGATAAAGACCATTACAGTATACTAACACATATATATGGAATTTAGAAAGATGGTAATGATAACCCTATATGCAAAACAGAAAAAGAGACACAGATGTACAGAACAGACTTTTGGACTCTGTGGGAGAAGGCGAGGGTGGGATGTTTCGAAAGAACAGCATGTATATTATCTATAGTGAAACAGATCACCAGCCCAGGTGGGATGCATGAGACAAGTGCTCGGGCCTGGTGCACTGGGAAGACCCAGAGGAATCGGGTGGAGAGGGAGGTGGGAGGGGGGATCGGGATGGGGAGTACATGTAATTCCATGGCTGATTCATGTCAATGTACGACAAAACCCACTGAAATGTTGTCAAGTAATTAGCCTCCAACTAATAAAAATAAATGAAAAAAAAAAAAAGAATACTGGCATGCTGTGCTATGCTGTGCAGTGGGTTACCATTTCCTTTTCAACCCACTCCAGTATTCTTGCCTGGAGAATAACTATAAATGGAACATAACCTTTAAAAGTTGTAAATCACTATACTATACACCTGTAAAACTTATATAAATATTGTACATCAAATATACTTCAAGTAAAAAAAATTTAAGAAGGGAAAATTCTTTGTCTACACATAGTTTTTTAAAAATTAATACAGACTTAGAGCAGCAAAACATTAACTTATCATAGAACAAGCAATATTCAAATAGAAACCAAGTACCTGGAAGACTAAATCTGGAATCTCTCTGTCATAAAGGGGCATTTGCTGCAGAAGGAAAACATCTAATTGACCAGCATTTCTAAGTTGCAATAGCTGGAAACGTTTACTCTTTTTCATTTCCTCTTCAGAAACAAAGTTAAATTCATCTTGCAACTGTTCAAGACGAAAATAATTTGGAATATCCTGTCCTTTATGTTTTATGTACTGTAAAACACAAATAATGTAAAGACTTTACTTAAAATAATTTTTTTTAATTCAAGACTTCAAAACAGTTGAAACTGTGAGATATGAGATTGCAATATAAACAGGAAGTGGAACAACTAAATCTATAATAGAAAATCTGGAAAAAAAAAAGTGCAGAATCTAGCCTACATACATTCTCAGCCTTTTCCTGGTCATGATCTATATAGAAATGAAAACATGTTACTGTACAATGGGCTAAAAGAGGCTTTTTATATCTGGTTGCTCTATGAGCTGAGAAAAGTTCAATAGTTCTATGTACAAGAAATCAATTCAGCATGTCAGTTGGGAAGCTATGATCTGAGGAAACTTAATTGAAATAATCTATGCACTGCTTTCTTCAATAAATGCAAATGTGAGTACACAGTACATGAGAGGAAAAGTGCTAGCGCCATAAGAGAGACAAAGATTTACTAGCTGTAGTTCCACAGGGAAAGATAAAGCACATGGATGAATGACTACAGTAAAGGCAGAATGATAGATCCATTTGCTGTTCAGTTGTGTTTGACTCTTTCCGACCCCATGGACTGCATCGCGCCAGGCTTCCCTGTCTTTCACCATCTCCCAGGGCTTGCCCAAACTCTATCTTATGAATAGATCCATAAGAATTATTAAAAAAAAAAAAAACAAAACAAAACAGGAGGGCAAGAAAAGAAAAGCGCATACCTAACTGAAGTTGTTGCAGGGAGAAGTAAATTGTGACCCCACGTTGAAACTGTTTCTTTGACTTGCTTTCCGTTGATATTGTTATTATAATCACACATAATGGGCTGCCTCAAAGAACCCTGCCCCTCTGCCTGACTTAAGCTAAAGTGCCTTTGTTCATAACCCTGTCCACCTGGCTGGCAGGAAAAAAGAAATTAACACATTCCCCCTGCCTGAGGCTTGCCATTTCAGGAGATACTTGCAAGATTAAATAGCCTTTTTACTTTTTTTCCTTATGTCCACCCTCCATCTCTGATACATAAAAGAAACTGGCATACAGATGCTGACAAGATGGTTATTTTGAGATGTTAGTCTACCATCTTCTCGGTCAGCTGGCTTTCCAAATAAAGCCGTATTCCTTACCTCAACACCTTATCTCTCAGATTCACTGGCCTATCGCGTGGGGGAGCAAAAGGAGCTTGGACTCGGTAATAAAGTTGCCAAGGAAGTATTTACCAGACTTGCAGGGTGGGTAAGATAGCTGATATAGGTGCCCTTCTAAGCAGAGGGAATGGCATGGATAAAAGTATGAAGAAAGCACTTTTGGAGCACACAAGAGCAGTTAAGTTGGCTATGAGCAGGAGTAGGAGAAGTGAATAAATAGAGTCTTTGAGGGAAGAAGGATGTCTTTGAATCATCTTTAAAGTCCTCAGTAATTAATAATATGGCTGGTACTCAGTAGATGTACAACAGATGTCAACCTGGAGATTATTCTGCTGGACGCACCAAGCAAGGGCTGCTAAACAGTGGCGGAGTACCAATCATTTTCCCAGTTGTTGAATTTCTAACTGCCTCATAATACTGTAAACTGACTGAAAACTCTGTCCTCAGGTTTACTTTTAATGACTCCTAGTGCCCAGAAAAATATACTGCAAACTGTGGGGGAGTATAGGAGTATAGAGCTTAATAAATATATTTACAGTACAGATATTTTGCTACAACTTACCATAATAAATTCCATTAAATCAGAACATTCTGGGTTATTTGGGTCAATTCTGACCTCACTGGCCCATTCAAAAAGCTTCTGTGCATTAATAAGCCATGGAATTTCAGGAACACCTCTTGCATCTACATTCCTTAACACACTAACATAAGGAAAAATATGTTGTGAGTTTATATGTAATATACAGGTGATACATCTGTTATATGGGGTAAAACCTACCCATTACAGGTATTTAAAGATTAAGCTTATCCATCCTCTGCTTTTAAGGATAAAACAGAAGGTTCAGATTTGCTATCTTCCCTGGTTCTTCTCACATTCTAACTGTATGATAGTTTTTTGATAAATGTCTATCCCTCCCCTAAGAGACAAGTAAGCTTCTTAAGGGTAAAGCCCATAAATATTCCTCTTTGATATCTAAAATACACAATATAAAAAGAATCTTTAGGCTATATCTTTATAGTTGAAACACAGTATAGAGTATGTAATACAATTAACTGGGAAGCATGAGTCAGAAGAATATCTTTGGTCCTATGAGGCCATAGCTTTAGAAGTTGGAGAGCTATGAAAGACAGGGTATAATGTATTCTCAAGTGCATTCTTAAGTCAATTCAGTTATGTCCGACTGTGCAACCCTATGGACTGCAGCCTGCCAAGCTCCTCTGTCCGTGGGATTCTCCAGGCAAGAACACTGGAATGGGTTGCCATGCCCTCCTCCAAGATATCTTCCTGACTGACGTCTCTTATGTCTTCCTGCACGGGCAGGCAGGTTCTTTACCACTAGCACACCTGGGAGTGCAATCTTAGTGACCTCACTACAGGCAGAGTGCAGAGGAAATTCAACCCTAAACAGAAAGGGTTTCTTTCCAGCCATCAATTATCCCAGTTAATTAATCTCTCTCTTCATGGGTAATTCATTTTACCATGTGGAATTAGAACGCTTCAGACTGAAAGATTTCTACGATCCTTTCTATGTAGTATTCAGGGAAAATTCCAGTCCATAAACTAGGATTTCAACAATACAGTTCTGGCTCAGATTCCATAATGTCAGCCCAAACATGGACACATATTTTACACCATCCACTTTCCATCAGTATCTATTCATATTTTTTATGATGAATCTGAGAGAGTCAATTCTTAGGTAGGTTGATAAGAAGCCTGGGGTCCCTGAGGAGGAGATAGAGATCTGGGGTTCTCAAAGAGGAGAAGAGAACAAGTTTTTTTTTTTTTCTACATTCCTTAGTCTTAGTCACATAAAACTTATCCCATTACAGCCTTTTTTTTTCCCCTTTAAGCCCAGAGCTGATGATAACACAACAAAACGACTCATCTTAAACTCTGTACTAAGGATTATATAACAACAATGTATCCTGCAAGAGGACATGTTTCACCTTCTTGTGAAAGTGAAACTCACTCAGTCGTGTCCTATTCTTTGCAACCCCATGGACTATACAGTCCATGGGATTCTCCAGGCCAGAATACTGGAGTGGGTAGCCTTTCCCTTCTCCAGGAGATCTTCCCAACCCCGGGATCAAACCCAGCTCTACCAGGTCTGCATTGCAGGCAGATTCTTTACCAGCTGAACCACAAAGGAAGCCCATTAAGATAATCCTGTTATTTTAAAATGTATATTGTGGGGGTGGGACTGGTAAAATCTTGCCATTGTTAGTTCTAATCCCATCATTTTAAAATGTAAATTGTGGGAGTGGGTCTGCTAAGACCTTTACAAACTTGAAACATTCTTTTGATTTATTATTAATAACCTATTGAAAAAATACATAGCTCCCTTGTTAAGCCTAGTGACGGAGCACTCTCCACCTTCTTCTGATGTCTATGTCGGAAACTTTCTCAGTCCTTTTTCACTGTAATAAAACTTCTGCCCACACAAGAGTCCTGAGTGGTCAAGCCTGGTTCCTGATCTGGAAGCTCAGTTTTCTTCGGAGATCATGAATCCGACACCATGCACTGTAAACTATCAAATCTTTGGAAGTTATTCCTAACAAAGCCAATGCATGGTTTGATAGAATGTTAAGCAAAGTTACAAACGGGTAAAGCTTGAGTATTCCTCCCTTCTTTAATTCCTATGTCTGCCCTCTCATTTGAACTGTTTTAATATCTTTGTCGTAAGAGATCTCTAGGGCCTGATACCCTCAACATCATCACGTAACAAATTTTCTTCTCATGGGAAGAATCTTAGCCCAGGTCCCTTAGAGAATAAAGGCTCAGGTACAGTTTAAATGTTAATGAATACATTATGGAGAGAAACTTATCCCATTATAGCCTTAAAAAAATTTGGTTGTATTTCAACACAGTCTCTAGATTTCTGCCTCAGGGAAAGTAATAAAAGCCTCAGAACATCTCCTGCCTTTGCTGTAATGATTTCTTCTGTCATCCCTACAGTTGTTTAGCTGTGAGCTACAGCTAAATTCCTTTGTCATCTGCAACCCCTCCTTCACAAACAAATGCTAAGCAGGTAATGTAATCCAGTGGCATTTAGTATGGCACTGTGGCATTCAGTCCACAGTGTTGTACAGTCACCATAACCATGTTATTTTCAGAACTTTTCATCATTCCAAATAGAAATCCTGTACCCATTAAGCAATAGCTCCTCCCTGCCCTCAGGCCTGAGCTTTGTCTCTAAGAATTAAGCAAAGAATTTTAAAGTTATCAGGGAGAAAAGACTATCTACAAAATACTAACATTTAGACTGACAGCAGATTTTTAAACAGCTATGATAAATTCCAGAAGATAATGCAACGGTAGCCTCAGAGTGCTTAGGGAAAATAAGTATCAGCCTCAAATTTTATGCCCATCTACACAATTATTCAAGAATGAGGAAAAAATACATTTTCAAATACATAAAGACTAAACAAGCTTTCTAGCCATGAAAACAGAATCATTTTCATGAATATGTATATGTATGGTTGAGTCTCTTCGCAGTTCACCTCACAGTTCATCTGAAACTATCACAATGTGGTTAACTGGCTATTCAGCTCAGTTCAGTCGCTCAGTCGTGTCTGACTCTTTGCGACCCCATGAATCGCATCATGCCAGGCCTCCCTGTCCATCACAAACTCCCGGAGTTTACTCAAACTCATGCCCATCGAGTCGGTGATGCCATTCAGCCATCTCATCCTCTGTTGTCCCCTTCTCCTGCCCCCAATCCCTCCCAGCATCAGGATATTTTCCAATGAGTCACCTCTTCTCATGAGGCGGCCAAAGTATTGGAGTTTCAGCTTCAGCATCAGTCCTTCCAATGAGCACCCAGGACTGATCTCCTTTAGGATAGACTGGTTGGATCTCCTTGCAGTCCAAGGGACTCTCAAGAGTCTTCTCCAACACCATAGTTCAAAAGCATCAATTTCTCAGCACTCAGCTTTCTTCACAGTCCAACTCTCATATCCATACATAACCACTGGAAAAACCATAGCTTTGACCAGATGGACCTTTGTTGGCAAAGTAATGTCTCTGCTTTTTAATATGCTATCCAGGTTGGTCATAACTTTCCTTCCAAGGAGTAAGCGTCTTTTAATTTCATGGCTGCAGTCACCATCTGCAGTGATTTTGGAGCCCCCCAAATAAAGTCTGACACTGTTTCCACTGTCTCCCCATCTATTTCCAATGAGGTGATGGGACCAGATGCCATGATCTTAGTTTTCTGAATGTTAAGCTTTAAGCCAACTTTTTGACTCTCCTCTTTCACTTTCATCAAGAGGCTTTTTAGTTCCTCTTCACTCTCTGACATAAGGGTGGTGTCATAACTGGCTATACCCCAGTACAAAACAAAAAGCTAAAAAAAAGAAACTGAATCGTTCAGGGAACAACTTTGAGCAAGAAGAGTAAATCCAGTATGAAAGTTATGGGAGATAAGAAATAAAGGCAAATACAAAACTCAATTAACCACGTCACAAAGTAATCAACTAGTGAGTGTAAGAAAAACAGTTTTATGTTTTCAAAATGTGTTAAACAAAAACTCTAGACAATGTTAATTGAGACTGGAGAGATATGACTTTTGCAATATAAAGCATTCTAAGATCCTCTTCCGTTTCTAGTTCTGTCAGTAGTTGATGAATAAATGAATGAATGAGTGAGTGAATAAACAAACTCTTTCTGATCTTTAGCTTCACACTCTGACGCTCACAAGTCAGTCTTGCCTTTTGCAGCGCCCATCCCAGGTTCCTAAAACCACTGCTGCTCACCAGCCCTTGGGCTACCACAGCTGTAGACAGGAGAGTTCTGCAATTTCCCTCTCTGATCTCAGAATCCCCAGCGATAAAGCTTTACTTCAAGTTCACTTTAGAAAGGGCTCTGAACTTTGAAAACGTTTCCTGCAGTTCATCCTGTTGACACTTTTCATCTGTTTCAATCTTGCACAACTGCTTTCAATTTTTTATAAACTTGAGTTCCCAAGTGACTGGAACCGTTAAGTGCAGCATCACAGAAGTCAAAAGAGAAGAGACATCAAGAAGCAAAATGATAAGGACAGGTCAATAAATATGACCAGAAGGTCCTTGGTAGCCTTGAGGAGTAAATGGGTTGGGTTAGGGATGAAATGTGTGAACAAAAAGTAAAGGCAATGTATATAGACCAGGAGAGCATCCATATAATAACTTGGGCAGGAAAAACAACCAGAAAGGGTTTTTAGGGTTTAATCAAGTGCTTGGATTTTTCTTTGTTTTAAAGCACAGAAAGCTTCTTGGATATGAAAGACTTACAGCATAGGGAGATGGAAAAGTTGAAGAAAATGTAAGAAAAGGATATAAATATGTCAATAGATTCCTAAAAGAGACCAAGGGAAGTTCCAAATTATTTGCATAAAAGTAAGCTTTAGAGTGAGGAGAACAGACATCTGACTTTGAGAAAAAGACAAAGAATGATGTGGTAAAGATTTAAAATAGCTGCAGTGGGTATATGGTTGGGAGTCACTTTGCTGCCATCTGAAACTATCACAAAACTGTTAATCAGCTATACCCCCAAAATGTTTTTGGTGTTAAAAATAAATAAATAAAAATTAAAAAAACATAGCTGCAGTGCGGGACTATGCTAGGGAAATACTAAGTAACACAAGAAAATTCTGGTTCAGGATATTAAAACCTTATTCACTAGCTCCAAAATAAATTACCCTTATTACCCATTTTGATCTTAATACCCGGATAACCACGATGGTGTGATCACTCACCTAGAGACAGACATCCTGGAATGCGAAGTCAAGTGGGCCTTAGGAAGCAACACTACGAACAAAGCTAGCAGAGGTGATAGAATTCCAGCTAAGCTATTTCAAATCCTAAAAGATGCTGCTGTGAAAGTGCTGCACTCACTATGCCAACAAATTTGGGAAACTCAGTAGCGGCCACAGGACTGGAAATGGTCAAGTTTTCATTCCTATCCCAAAGAAGCCAATGCCAAAGAATAATCAAACTACGGCACAATTGCACTCATTTCACATATTAGCAAAGTAATGCTCAAAATCCTTCAAACTAGGCTTCAACAATCGGTGAACCGAGAATTTCAAGATGTACAAGCTGGATTTAGAAAAGGCAGAGAAACCAGAGATCAAACTGCCAACATCCACTGGATCATAGAAAAAAACAAGAGAATTGCAGAAAAACATCTACTTCTGCTTCAGTGACTACGCTAAACCCTTTGACTGTGTAGATCACAACAAATGTGGAAAATTCTTAAAGAGATGGGAACACCAGATCACCTTACCTGCCTCCTGAGAAGCTTGTATGCAGGTCAAGAAGCAACAGTTAGAACCAAACATGGAACAGCGGACTGGTTAAAACTGGGAAGGACTGTATATTGTCACACTGTTTATTTAACTTATATGCAGAGTTCATCATGTGAAATGCTGGGCTGGATGAAGCACAAGTTGGAATCAGGACTGCGGGAGAAATATCAATAACCTCAGATATGCAGATGACACCACTCTAATGGAAGAAAGTGAGAAGAAATTAAAGAGCATCTTGAGAAAGGTGAAAGAGGAGAGTGAAAAAGTTGGCTTAAAACTCAACTTTCAAAAAACTAAGATCACGGCATCTGATCTGATCACTTCATAGCAAATAGATGGGGAAACAATGGAAACAATGACAGACTTTATTTTCTTGGGCTCCAAAATCACTGCAGATGGTGACTATAGCCATGAAATTAAAAGAGGCTTGCTCCTTGGAAGAAAAGCAATGAAAAACTTAGACAGTATATTAAAAAGCAGATACATTACTTTGCCTACAAAGGTCCATATAGTCAAAGCTATGGTTTTTCCAGTAGTCATGTAAGGATGTGAGGGCGGGACCATAAAAAAGGCTGAGCACTGAAGAATTGATGCTTTCAAACTGTGGTGCTGGAGAAGACTCTTGAGAGTCCCTTGGACAGCAAGGAGATCAAACCAGTCAATCCCAAAGGTAATCAACCTTGAATATTCATTGGAAGGACTGATGCTGAAGCTGAAACTCCAATACTTTGGCCACCTGATGGGAAGAAGTGACTCATTGGAAAAGACCCTGATGCTGGGAAAGATTGAAGTTGGGAGGAGAAGGGGCTGACAGAAGATGAGATGGTTGGATGGCATCACTGACTCAATGGACATGAGTCTGAGCAAACTCCAGAAGATGGTGATGGACAGGGAAGTCTGGTGTGCTGCAGTCCATGGGGTCACAAAGAGTTGGACACGACTGAGTGACTGAATGATGACAACCCATTTTTCTCCTAAAATGCCCTGCTCCAGGTCTCTAAGATGACCTCAATTACTTAGCAAAGCAGGGATATCCATCAAAATTAATTTCTGTGTGTACTGCGATTTCTATCTCATTCTCTGCTTTGAAAAGATATTTCCTCTTCTCTAGAACCACAGCTATTGACTTATTTTCTGGTTCAATATCCTCCTGACTCTGAAGGAGTTCATGTGCTAACTGCCTCAGTTGTGTCTGACTCTTTGTGACTCCATGGACTGCAGCCTGCCAGGCTCCTCTGTCCAGGGGATTTTCCAGGTAAGAATACTAGAGTGGGTTGCCATTTCCTCCTCTACGGGATCTGCGTGACCCAGGGATCAAACCCAAGTCTCTTGCATCGCCTGTATTGGCAGGTGGCTTCTTTATCTCATATTCTTTCTAATACATTCTGGTTCTTTTCCTATGAATTTCATCACTTCCTTTTAGAAGATAAGTACTGCCCCCAAATTTTAAGAACTCTTACTTTGATTCTGTTCTCTCTCTTATTTTCAGCCTCTTTTTACTGTCAAGCTTCTTGATGAGTAATCTACATCCACTTCCTGTTTCTTCAACATCAATTGTTGAGTACTGACATTGGTTTAGTTTTTCTCTAAAACTCTTTCTTATTTACCAAGAAGACCACTCAGAAGGAGGTCAAGGCAACCCACTCCAGTATCCTTGACTGGAGAATTCCATGGACAGAGGAGCCTGGTAGGCTACAGTCCGTAGGATCACAAAGAGTCGGACATGACTGAAGCGACTTAGCACTCATGTATGCAAGAAGACCACTTATGAACTTTTGCTATGATTCTGGCCATATGCCACAAGTTTTGTAGATAGTGTTCTCATTGTTATTTTAAAAATAGTCTCTATTTTCAGTTTTCATTTCCTATTTAATCCACATTATTTATATGAATATTTTTTAAAATGTTATTATTTTACTTTAAAAATAGGAATTTTTTAAAAGGAGTTTTAGGATCACAGCAAAATTGGTATAAAGTACAGTTTCTACATACACAGCCTACCTCACTATTAACATCCTGCACCAGAGTTATAATTTATTATGTTTGTTGCAATAAAAGAGTTGCAATTGTTATAATCCATGGACCTATACTAACCCATCATTAGTACTCAAAATCCATAGTTTACAGTAAGGTTTACTCTTGGTGTCTTATGTTATACGGATTTTTGTCAAATACATAATGACACGTATCCACAGTTACAGTACCATACAGAATAGTTTCATTACCCTAAAAATCCTGTGTGCTCTGCCTATTCATCCCTCCCTTTCCCTAACTCTTGGTGAACAATGACATTTTTACTGTCTCCATAGTTTTGCCTTTCCCATAATGTCATACAGTTGGATCTCTAGCCTGTTTTTAAAAAATATGTTTTTTAAAAAAAATTAAAATTAAAATATGTGTTTAGATGGGGAGGGAAAAGGCTATCCTTTTGTCATTATCATTCATTAATTTCTTTAATGATGAGATCTTTTGGCCCTTTATGTGTGTCATTTTACTCAAACATAGCACAGTATATAAGCCAGCATTATTATCATTTTTATAGAATTCTACTGTACTTCTAGTAATACTGTTTGTGGATAGGGTCTAGAAGTTAACTCCAATTTCTCTAAGAAGTTGTGGGATATAGATGAAATTTCTATGCTCAGCAATTTCTTCCAGAAAATTGATAATGCAAAAAATCTTTTTTTCTTTTGCATAATCCAGAATGACTGGGAGAGATAAAGGACCCAGAAATCAAATCCTTGGGAGTCTTGGCCTTTGCCTACACAGTCTAAGGACTATGGAACCGCCTCTGTCATCATCCATGTGGCTCTAATCCTAAACACTGAAGAGACACATTCTCTTACACATAAAGATACTTATTGCCTTAGCGGAGTGATTACAAATAAAATAAATATTTTATATATTTACAAATACAAATAAAAATAAAGCAACATCCAAGTAAACTAAACTGTTCCTACCATTTATCTAGACTTTCCCTTTTGTAGGCTTTGTGTGATGCTTTGCTGAGGACAGGCATTATTTTTCAAGCATAAAGTTTATTACCTGCAGAAAGCAGATTGTAATGACTGTGACACAGGTGTTAGAGGAATACCATTTTCATCTAAGGCCCATGATAAAGAATAGCTTAGTTTTCCTGATGTCAAAAGACAAAGTTCTTCAGTTCCATTTTCCTCAAGAAGAAAGGGCACATCTGTTTACAAAGGGTATTAAAAACATATGAATATTTGAGCACATTACAGTTTTTTCCCCTTTTACGTGTTCCTGGAACCCCAGAAATACAGAGTTTATGCTGACTGCAGGCTCTATCTTTACAGCTCTCCTTCAACTCCTACCCAAAATCCCTCGAGGCAGACTGTTTCAAACAGACTACAAACAAGAGGGGAGAGAACTTATCTGAACACAAGTTTTCAAACCATTCTTTCTGGGAGTGGCTGCCAGCAAGGAAAAAAAAAACTACTGGCAGCAAAAAAAGGCTTTCCATTGTGGTTCAGTGGTAAAGAATCTGCCTGCCTGCCAGTGTAGGATCAGGAGACGTGGGTTAGATCCCTGACAGGGGGTGTGGGGGTGGGGGGAGGGATCCCCTGCAGTAGGAAATGGCAACACACTTCAGCATTCTTGCCTGGGAAACTCCATGGCGGGCTGCAGTCCATAGGGTCACAAAGAATCTGACACAACTAGCAACTGAGCACGCATGCTAGCAGAAAAAGAGCTACTGTTTGGCTCCTTCCCTACATTCTTCAATTTTCTCCCTCTCCTCATCTTCCCTCTCAGTCTCCAGAGAGCTTAGTGATATTTCTTGAAACTTCTGCCAAGTGCTTAGTGCATCCTAAATTTCTCTAAGTCTTTTCTCCTGGGTCTCCACAACCAGGTTTTTGGCTTCATCTGGACTTTATCTAAGCAGACTACATTCCTCCCTCATTTTCTGTACTTTCCTTGTTCCTTTGCCTGCGTATTTCCTTCTTTCTCCTCCTTGTTCACTCATTCATACTCCCTTTCTTTTCACCAGATGGACACAGCAATTACAACATCCCAAGGAAGGCGTGGTATTGGAGAAGACTCTTGAGAGTCCCTTGGACTGCAAGGAGATCAAACCAGTCCATCCTAAAGGAGATCAGTCCTGAATATTCATTGGAAGGACTGGTGCTGAAGCTGAAACTCCAATACTTTGGCCACCTCATGTGAAGAGTTGACTCATTGGAAAAGACCCTGATGCTGGGAGGGGTTGGGGGCAGGAGGAGAAGGGGACGACAGAGGATGAGATGGCTGGATGGCATCACCAACTCGATGGACATGAGTTTGAGTAAACTCCGGGAGTTTGTGATGGACAGGGAGGCCTGGCATGCTGCAATTCATGGGGTCGCAGAGAGTCGGACACAACTGAGCGACTGAACTGAACTGAAGGATGGTGAGAGAGAAGGGAACTGTGGGAGAAGAGAGAGCACTCCGGCAGACATGCTAACTTAAATTGCAGGAGTAAAATCAATTGAAAGACAGTAAAAAAAGTCCCTTCTTTCCTCTTTCTCTTATCTCTTCTTTTCTCTCTCCTCTTCCTCCTTCCCCTATTCAGTTCAAAGATTAATCAACATGTCCTGGAGCATCTTCAGGCTTTACCAAAGGTCAGACCATCTGATGGGCTTCCCTGGTGGCTCAGCTGGTAAAGAATCCACCTGCAGTGCGGGAGACCTGGGTTCGATCCCTGTAGAAGGGAATGGCAACCCACTCCAGTATTCTGGCCTGGAGATTCCATGGATTGTATAGTCCATGAGGTTGCAAAGAGTTGGACACGACTGAGAGACTTTCACTTCACTTCAAGTCAGGTAGGGGCAGAGCAATCTCCCCACTTAGGTGTGGAGCTCACATTATACAAAGCACAGTGTTCTTGTCTCCGATCCGATGCCCGAGGAAAAGCAGAGGAGCTTGTCTCAAAGTTTAGATTTCCTAAAGATCTGATTCAAGTCAAAGTTTTAAAAATTAGTTTACTGTCTGGAAGAACTTAATTCGTTTTAACCTAACACTGTAAATACAGGATTCCTTTTAAAGTTGTTTTTTTTTTTAATTGTGGTAAAGGTCACATAATGTAAAATGTACTATTTTAACAACATTTAACTGTACATTTCAGTGGCACTAAGAACATTCACATTGCTGTGCAATTCTCACCATCTCCTGAATTTTTCACTTTCGTAAACTGAATCTCTGCCCCCATTAAACACTAAATTCTCATTCTCCCTCCCCATCCCATAACCCACCACCCCCAGACCCTGGCATCTACCAACATATTTTATAACTCTATGAATAGGATTCTTTGTTCATATGAATGACCCATGGTCATTTAGGATATAGAACTCATGAAGGAAATAGGAGGGAAGACACATTTTTAATAAACTTACTGCTTCCTACTTCTCCATATGCAGGTATGACCAGTTTATCAGAGCTAAATTCTAGATATTCCAGAATAGTTTTGCTTTTCAATTCTGGGCTGTTAGGTAAGGGTAAATATAGTTTTGCCAATAAGCATGTCCTTTTACTTATTTCATAAACCTAAACATAAAAGAAATGATTGATAACTCACTGAAAGTACAAAATAGAAAAAAACTAAAACAAAGGTCATCACTAACATAATTCCTTTAAAAATACTAGAATGTAAAACAGGTATTGCTCTAGAGCCTTTGATCCACATGATTGTGATAAAATTAGGTAATCTTATGTGTTTAAAAGTATAGTGCCTTTCACTGGTTTCAAAGAAAGTCAGTTGAATAAAAGGATGAGAAATATAATTCTGGGAATTCAGTACATATAACACAATACCCAAAGAACTTACTTTTGTGTAGCACTTTAAAAGTCCTTTATCTTATTTAAACCTGATAAAAATTACAGGAAATAGGCATTACTCTTCCCATTTTATAAATGAAGAAATGAAATCTCTATATGAAACTCTATTAATTTTTATTAAAAGTGATAGAAACTCAGGTTGAATAGCCTAAGAAAAAGGGAGAGTTGTTGGCTCCTCGAGTCCAAGGACAGATTAAACGAGCTATGTAGCAGGGAAGGGAGGAAAAGTCCCAGAAGGAGGAGTAAGGGAGGCGCTGAGTACGTGGTTCTACAGACATTTACTGAGTGCTAAACCCAGGTCTTCTGATTCTGCATGCTGTGCTTTCTACTAGAATTCCATCACTGTCATAACTACAAACCCAAATTTTTTCAACAGGAAGATCTTATTTTGATTTATACTCTGTTATCAGTGTCTGGAGAAACAGTGATATGTGCTTTAAAGAAAAGAAAATCAAAGAAGATAAATGCCCCTTAAAAGATAAAAAAGAATGTACCAACCAAAAGGACAGTTGCTAACCAAGAAGGCAGAGAAAAACGCAAGACAAAGAGGCAACTATTTTTCTGGTCATCTAAATACTGTTTCTATAAGAGTGAATTTAAGCCAACACAACTGGTCCCTTTGCCAAAGGCATCACTAATACAGAAAGGTTTGCGGGGGTTATAGCTAATTATAGCTAATGGATTTTAAGTATTTATGTCTCTGAAAAAAATTTCTTATTGTAAGTTAGTAAACTGGCTAACTAAAAAGAGACAATGAACTGACAAATATATTCATATATTCAGTTGGCATTCTGATTTTACACATCAATCTTGCGGACTTGTTTAGGGTATGTCCATGTGTTCTCATGGAACTGTCAAATTCACTTTGGAGGCCAGATCCTGGACCGCAGCATATGTAAAGGTAGAGAATGACACCTGGAATCTCCCAGGAGATGACCTGTCCCCAATGGCAGCTATCAACACCTGTGTAGCTGAGATGACGTGTCGAGAATGAAAACAGGCATTATAAGTGGAGAAACTGTAATATTAAAAAAGTCTAAGTAGGGAATTGCAAAAATATATGGGAAAAAAAACCAAACAGTTCAGTTTGGCTGAAGTGAAGAAGGAGTAAAGAAAAATAATAATAAAATTAGAAATGCAGGTTCGTATGTATTCATCAAGGGCATATAGATTTATTTAGCAATTCATGCAGCTTTTAATAGTGTGAATTATCCCTAGATAGATTTCTTTCTTTCTTTGCCTCTTAGTTTGTTAGGATCATGTGCTAATTGATGATGATGAACGATTCAAAAATCTACACTTACCTATTCTGGTAATTTTAGAGGGGGCAATTTTAAACTTCAAGAAGTTAGATTATAATATCACAATTTATTTTACGTACAATAGTAGGAAAGTGTAGTCAGTATATTTTCAAAATAAAAAGTTCAACAATGTACACCCAAGGCTGATTCATGTCAATGTATGGCAAAAACCACTACAATATTGTAAAGTAATTAGCCTCCAATTAAAATAAATAATTTTAAAAAATTTCAACAGAGCTACATTTTAAGATGATAGTAACTTAAAGGCACAGATGAATAAAATGAATACAGCTTTTGATCAGGAATCAAAAATAACTGATTTAGATTTGTAATAATAATCTCCCCATGTCTCAGACTCCACTCTATACTCATATAACACAAATCTTTACTCCTCCTAACTTTTCTTTCAGGTTGAGGTTCAAGTTTAACCCTTATATTAGCCATCAAGACTTGTTGTCTAGACTCCATTACTGTTTCTAATTTGTCTTCATCATCATATTTTTCTTCTTTTAGTGCCGGGATTCTTATGATGGGGTCTTTGGGAAGGGATCAGGGGTCTGCTACATGTGTGTTTCTTCATCAGATTCTTTTAAAAACTTTTAAAAAAGATGAACAATATATCAAGAGACTGAAATCACAAAACCAAGGTTGGGGCAATTTGAAGAAATTATTCAACACTAACAATTGCTATACTTCTCATAGTTTAAACAACTTTCTTTCACCTCTTCCACCTCACTAATAAATGAATAATGCTGCACGTCTAGGGTTGGCAAGAACTATAGCAGGAAAGAAGTATTTAGAACAACTACAAATCAAATAATTTTGTACTTAAAGCATAAAAGACTAATGATGAATTATATTATTTATAAATATTAATATCTTATCTTAATATCTCTTAATATAAAAGAACTTACTTATAATATTAACTAACAAGAAATTTAAAATCATTTATTGTATAAAATAATATACAAAATTAAATGACAATGGCATACCTCCAAGCAAATTGTTTCCGGCCAATATATTAACTGAATATTGAAAATTTGCTGGAACATGACTTTAAAATCAAACTGTAGAGGAGAAATTGAAGTGCAAGAAACCTGTTTATCATTGTATAAGATTTTAATAAAATATTTAAGCTTTTGAATTTTGGCTCTCCTCTTTTGTTCGTACCTAAAAATTAAATAAACCTTTAGAGACCCTTGAAAAGCAAACCAGATATAAAATATTATTCTTTTCAAAATATACCTCAACATATTAAAATATGGTCATTTTAGAGGACAAATACTATCTTTAAGCCCAATAACATTTGCCTTTCTCTTATCCACAGATAAGAAACTTCTCCTATCAAGAAATTTCTTTAAAAAGACACTGACTCAAAAAAAGAAAAAGACTAAAATTAAAGTACCATAAATCATTCAACTATTTATTTTACTAAATTATAACTTAAAGAGATTATAACACACCCATTATAAGATGTTTTATGAGAGGAAAAAATTGAGGGACTTAGGAATGGGGGTGAGGGAGCTTGCATCAAGAATTCAAAAATATTTTCGAACTTTTAACACACACACACATATTATGTTTTCAATAACCTCAAGCAGGTGACTCTAAGACAACAGCCTTGCTGTGTCCTCTTAAAGGTCTTTGTGAACCTCTTTAGGCTTTAGGTTGTATATTCTTTTTTTCTAGGACATTGTTTCTCTGAACCCAAGGATCAGAGGCCAGCCAGAAAGGTTAACTTCTTGGGGCTACTATGACAACACATGTTGGGGGAAAAAATGGATCCATTCAATAATATGAACTCCTAAGGCATCTTCCCTCCACCCATTCATTCATTCTTTCAACAAACATTTTTTTTTTTCATTTATTTTTATTAGTTGGAGGCTAATTACTTTACATCATTGCAGTGGTTTTTGTCATACATTGAGATGAATTAGCCATGGATTTACATGTATTCCCCATCCCATTCCCCCCTCCCACCTCCCTCTCCACCCGATCCCTCTGGGTCTTCCCAGTGCACCAGGCCCGAGCACTGTCTCATGCACCCAACCTGGGCTGTCAACCAACATTTATTGAATATCTTCTCAGATGCAAGTCAACTGACCTAATGATAGTTAAGATTTGATCCTGATTTTCAGAAGGTAAAAGACTAGCTGGAAGATAAGCCATAGGCTGAAACATAAAATTCCCTTCTGTTCTCCACCCTGATCACCCTATAGGCCAGCATATCTGCCCATCTTCTTTATAATCTTCTCAAAGGGGTATGGGACAAAAGATTATTTATTTTTCCTATCTCCCTCGTGGTCTTTTTTACCTTCTTCCCAATTACCTTAAAAGAAATATTAATAGTTTCATAAAATATGTCCCTTACATTGCCCTCTGAAAGTAGTTTAAATAATGAGCTTATCTACTGATTATGAGAATTTGTTAATTTGGGATTATATTCATCTTCATGAAATATTGCCTTTTCTGCACCTGTAAACTCTTTTTAATGTTCCCTTAATCCATGTACTCCTTTTATCTCCCTCTTTGACATAAGCATATTATTCTTTTCCAAAGACTCAATTCTTATTCAACTGGACATTTTCAACGGATAATGACAGCAATGCCCCATGATAGCAATAGCTGTGGAGAGACATAAAGCATTTAATTTCCTTTTGCCTTGACTTCCTCTAAGTTTTAGCTTAGCCTTTCCAGCACAAGTATCTTCTTCCTTCTTTTTCTCCTCTTTATTTCCAACTTCCATTTTATGGCTGTTCTCTTATCCTTATTTAGATGGTCCTTTTGTGGGCATCTTACACAAGAAATTATCTTGGGCCCCTTTTTGGAAGTAGGCGTAGAACAAATAAAACATTGCTTCACTGCTCTACTTCTCTAGTCAGAAAGAAGGTAATGATAATTTTGCCTTTGTGTTTGCCACTCTTTATGTTCATTTAAAAGTTTAACCACTTATTCATCCATTTAATGAACATGAATATTTATTGGACACCCACTATCTTCCAACACAGCACTAAATGATGCACATTCACAGTATTCAAAGATGAACTGGTACCAAATGTTTCATGGGACAGAGAGGTTGGAAAGTTGTATCAAGTTCAGTGCTCTAAGTTGCTACATCCTCTTTAAGGGAGATGAGATCCAAAGGCTTAGAGATGGGAGAAATGGTATCTGTTATGCATGGATTTCCTAGGAGTAGAAAGAAAACCTTAAAGGTCAAAGAAGTCACAACTGGGAAAGAAAGATGCTGGTATTGTCCAAGTACAGAAATTTTCCAGAGGGTCCTTTCTAATCAGAACATTTTCTATGAAAGCCAGAAGATCCTTCAACAAGCAAGGATGACCATATAATCCTATTTTTCACAGTGGCTTTATAGTCCACCTATTTATACCTGAACAAAAATTACTACCATAGCAAAACAAAAACCAAACTGGTTTATGTCCCACCTTAGTCATAAACTAGAAGTTCAATACCAATCTCTAAAATGAGGATAATATCATAGAACTATGGTAGCAATTAAAAGTGCAAATATATTTTTTAAACTTAGCAATCAGGAAATCTAACATTATTAAAGAAACAATACAGTAACTAGAAAACATATAATGAAGAAAAATAATCTGAAAATGCTTAAAATAATTTTTAAAATGCTTACAGTGAACATCTAGATAAGTCTGTTAATTCTGCTGTGAAAGAAAGTTGTGGTATCATGGTAATTGGATCTGCTATTTCAATATCTGTTTCTTCAAATTCTGAAGCTAAAAATGAGAAGCTCTAGAAACAGGAAAATAAATAATTTATAATGTAATTTCACTGCTTAGGACAATTATTCTTAAAATTAAACTTTTTATTTGTTATTTTGTTGGGTAACTATTACAAATATCAAGATTTCCTATTCTATCATTATTCTATCAAACAATATTATAACCAGTTAGGATGAGTTGAATGTTATTTTGCAGTGTAAATACCTCCTGTTTCTTCCTGTTCTTAAATGCTTTTCCTTCAGTTTTCTTCTCAGTCCCCCACATTTTTGACAATTCTTGTTTTTGTTCATCACATTTATTCATTTTCAACCTAATTAATAAAAAGTAGAATTATTTAAAGCAGAAACAATGGAATTATTTGAGTTGTTAGAGATTGTGCCAACACAGTACACACATACATCACAATCTCTTATTAAATAATTGTACATCCCAAGGAAATTATCAGTATGATACACATATATATATATCATATAAATATAAAATTTCATAAGCTTGTTCTCAGTTTTCACAGATTTCTCCCTACTTATTAAATACTACCAGAGAAGCCCAGTTAATTTACTGTTAGTATTTTTACGCCCTTTCTAAGGATATTAAGAAACCTCTCTGATGAGAATAAGGGACCAATGGGGATGGAAGTTATAAATTTAAGGGCATAATCCATGCTTCCTCTTTTTTTTTTTTTAATTTTTGGCCACAACAGGCAGCATGTACGATCTTAGTTCCTCGACCAGGGATTGAACTCACACCCCTTGCATGGTTAAGTGTGGAGTCAACCCCTGGACCACGAAGCAAGTGGTGGCCCAAGTGGACCAAGCAAGTCCCTCTCATATTTCTTAAGCTGTGAACATGAGCATGTGTAAGGGCAAGACACTATAGCAATAGTAAGTGGTAAATCAGGTATACTCCTTGGGGTTTATGCGTAAACAGTAAGGGATTCATGACATTACCACTACCAACACAGTGACTGCCACCACCACCACCACCACTAACAACTACTACTACTGTATTACTACCACTTCTATGAGAACCACCACCACCACCAACTACTACTACTGTACTACTATTATTTCTACCACTATCACCACCACCATCACTAACAACTACTACAATTAGTCCCAGCTAACTCAAACATTGTACTTACTAAGTACATGCCAGGCAATGTTCTAAGTACTTTACACATATTAACTCACTTAATTCTCACAGCAACCCTACAAAGTAGGTATTACTATTATTCCTCTTCCATTAGTAGTCCAGCAAAACCCCAGTCATCTGGAATACTTTCAGATGGCAGGGGTTTACACTTTTCAGTACAAAGTTTAGTCTTTAAATTTTAATCTTTTAAAAAGGAGATTCTTTGATATTATATGCTCTGTTGGGAATAGAAAATGGTGCAGCTGCTCTGGAAAACAGTTGTCTTAAAGCTGTAACTACTGTTTTTATATTCAAGATACAAATTCTTTGTTGACTACATCAAGCAGTTGACTAACTTCTGGATTTTTTCCCAGTTTCTGTTAATTCCCAGGGATTAGTGGGCAACTCCTCAGAAGACCTATAAGAACAAACAGAGCAGCCACTCACCTCTGAAACTGTAACTTTACTGAAGTGCTTGTAAACCCTTGTCGTTGTCGAAGGGATTTTATCTGTTTCCAAGTCCGTAATATACTGTGTAGTAGGGAAAAGTCCTTTTCCTTTTCTAACTCATAGAGTTGTTTTGTATTACTACAACAATAATGTTAGATTAAAAATACATTAGTGAACTGAGCATATATATACCCAGAGAAAACTAGAATTCAAAAAGACACATGCACCCCAATGTTCACTGCAATACTATTTATGATAGCCAGGACATGGAAACAGCCTAAATGTCTATCAACAGAGGAATGGATAAAGAAGATGTGGTACATATATACAATGGAGTATTATTGTCACAAAAGGAGTGAAATCGGGTCATTTGTAGAGACACGGATGGATTGAGAGACTGTCTACAGAATGAAGTAAATCAGACACAGAAAGACAAAACCAAATAGCACATATGAATGCATATATTAATATATGGAATTTGAAAAAAATGGTATAGGCAATCTATTTACAAACAGAAATAGAGATACAGATGTACAGAACAAACATATGGATACCAAAGGGGAAAAGGAGGGTGGGTGGGATGAATTGGGACCTTGGAATTGACATTTGATACCGTGTATAAAATAGATGAGAAACTACTGTATAGCACAGGAAAATCTACTCAGTGCTCTGCAGTGACCAAAATGCCAAGGAATCCAAAAGAGAGGAGACATATATAGACATGATTCACTTTGCTGTACACTAGAAACTAACACAACATTGTAAAGCAACCAGACTCCAAAAAAACAATGAAAAAAAAAAAAACAAAACCATGTTGGTGCATTAGAGCTACAAGTCATTACAAATGGCTTCAAACAGTTTATTGCACTAACTCTTCTGGGCTCCCCACCTCATTTTTTTGCTTTTTTTTTTTTTCCATTTTACTCACATCGTCATACAGAGAATGAAATTCCATTTAGAGATTCATGCGTCTTTAAGATTTTTCACTATTCAAAAGTACTCTACTAAAATCCACGTATTTCCAGGTTTTCTGGACATTCTGTAGTATATTTATCATACTTTTTTCAGATTAACAATCAGAACTACTGCTTCAAATTTAGAAGTACTTTGCCTGATGGGATACTGAATATACTACTTGAATACCAAAGTAATATAATCCAGTCTATATAAAAATGGATTGCTTAACCCATTTAGATATATTTAGACTTAACTTCACCATTTTCTTTTGTGCTTTCTCCTTGTCTTATGTTTCTATGTTCCCTTTTCTCTCTCTTTTTTTTGTCTTCTTTTGGATCGGTTGAGTATTTCTTATTATCTCATTTTCTCTTGATTTGGAAACTATATCTGTTTATTCTATTCCTTTAGAGGTTGTAAGTTAAAATTTAAGTCCTTCATTTACTAAAGTCTTAATCGCCAATGCAAATATCTTTAATTACTTTTACCCTTCTCCATTCTTTACTCCATTCTAAAAGTTTCATATTTTAACTGTTTTTACTTTTTATTGAAGTATAGTTGATTTATAATATTGTGCCAACCTCTGCTGTACTGCAAAGTGACTCAGTTTTACATGTGTATACATTCTTTTTAAAATATTCTTTCCCATTATGGTTTATCCCAAGAAATCGTATTCAGTTCCCTGTACTATGCAGTAAGACCTTCTTGTTTATCCATTCTAAATGCAATGGTTTGCATCTACCAATTCCAAATTCCCAGCCCCTTCCTCTCCTTCCCCACTTGGCAACCACAAGTCTGATCGCTATGTCTGTGAGTCTGCTTGTTTTGTAGATAGGTTCACTTTAGATTCCACATAGAAGTGATATCATATGGTATTTGTTTTTCTCTTTCTGACTTACTTCACTCAGAATGACAATCTAGTTTCACCTGCAAATGGCATCATTTTTTATGACTGAGTACTATTCCACTGTATATATGTACCACATCCTTCCTTATCCATTCATCTATCGATGGACATTTATTATAGGTTATTTCCATGTTTTGGCTATTGTGAATAGTTCTACTATGAACATAGGGGTGCATGCATCTTTTGAATTATAGCTTTACCCAGGTATATGCCCAGAAGTGGGATTGCTGGATCACGTGGTGATTCTATTTTTAGTTTTCTCAAGAACCTCCATCCTGTTTTCCATAGTGGCTACACCAACATACATTTCCACCAACAGGGCAGGAGGATTCCCTTTCTCCACACTCTCTCCAGCATTTGTTATTTGTAGACTTTTTATTGATGGCCACTTTGACTGGTATGAGGTGATACCTCATTGTAGTTTCAATTTTCATTTTTCTAATGATTAGTGATGTTAAGTATGTTTCATGGGCCTACAGGCCATCTTTACACTTTCTTCGGAGAAATTTCTATTTAGGTCTTCCGCCCATTTTTTATTGGATTGTTTGATTTTTTGTTATTGAATTGTATGGGCAATTTATATGTTTTGGAGATTAAGCCCTTGTCAGTCACATGATTGGCAAATACTTTCTCTCATTCCATAGGTTGTCTTTTTGGGGTTTTTTGGTTTTGTTTTTGTCTGTTTCCTTTGCTGTACAAAACTGTGTAGTTTGATTAGGGCCCATTTGGTTACTTTTGTTTTTTATTTCTATTGCCTTGGGAGACAGACCTAAGACCTAATTGTACCACTGGTACAATTTATGTCAGAGAATGTTTTGTCTATACTCTCTTCTAGGAGTTTTATGGTGTTATGTCTTACCTTTAAGCCATTCTGTGAACTCTAATTTTATGCCCTGTAAAACATCATTACATGACTGCTCACTGAGACTTAGCCACATATTTACCACTCTTTGCTCCTTAGTCCTTCCTTACTTTCTCAGCATTCTTTATGCCAATGAGTGTTTTTGGCTCTAAGTTTTAGTTAACCTTATAAACAACAGTAATTTACTGTTTTGTAAATACTGATGGTTTCTATCATTCATTCATTCAACTACTATTTACAGAGATAGTTCACTATGTGTCAGTACTTGTACAAGGCATATGTCAGTTTCCTTAAGTAACAATGTTTATAATGAGGAAACCCAATTATTTAAAACAACTTGCCTCCAGTGGTTAAGAATTTGTAGAGCCATTTTAGGTCAATGGGCAGGGAGTCAGAGAAATTCTTTAACTATCAAATCACTCAGAGTTGTCCATATCTTTGTGTAAGTTTAACTTTCTACCCAATAAGTACCTCCCAGAGTTTTCCTGCTTTTGGAGATTCCTTGACACATAATTATGGATTGTCTTTAAATTATTTTTCCAATTATTTTATACTTCCCTAATTTCTCTTCCTAACTAGTCTATTAGCTAATGATTCCCAAATTGTAGACCATTTTTTAAAATAAGGGTCCTTAACTCTACATACTCATTGAGTATTGCTTTTAGACTAAATTAATAGTATATCTTGCACATGTGTATGCAGATTAATTCTCAAACATACAAACACTTGAGATAAACATGATTCAAGTCAACTGAAAGGTATCAGTAAATTTGTAATAGTTTTTAATCAACATACATTTTTAAATAAATAGATCATATTAATAAAACTACAACTACTTTCATGTGATACTTCTATTAAATATTTTTACACAAAAATGTTACAAAAAGTTGGAACCATTTATTTAACTGCCTAAAGACTAGGGATCTTCAGCAGTCTCACTCCTGGGTATATACCAGAAAAAAGGAAATCTCTAGTTGGAAAAGACACATGTACCCCAATGTTCATAGCAGCAGTACCAACAACAGCCAGAAGATGGAAACAAGCACCAAGGGTCCACCAACAGGTGATTGGTTTAAGATGTATATATCCCCTCACACACACAAATATGGAATATTACTAAGCCATAAAAAAGAATGTAATATTATAATTTGCAACCTCATATGGACCTACAGGGGCTTCCTAGGAGGCGCTAATGGTAAAGAACCTGCCCACCAATGCAGGAGGATATAAGAAATGCAAGTTTGATCCCTGGGTCAGGAAGATTTCCTTGGAGAAGGGCAAAACAATCCACTCTAGTATTCTTGCCTAGAAAATCCCATGGACAGAGGAGCCTGGTGGCTACAGTCCATAGGGCTGCAAAAAATCAGACATGACTGAAGCGACTTAGCATGCATGCATGCATGGACCTAGAGAGTATTTTACTTAGTGAAGCAAGTCAAAAGAGTAAAAAAATACTATATAACATCACTTATATGTGCAGTCTAAAAAATAATACAAATGAATCTGTATACAGAACAGAAACAAACTCACAGACATAGAAAGGAAACTTAAGGTTACCAAAGGGAAAGGAGGGAAGGAGGAACAAATTAGAAGTGTTTGGTTAACCCAAACTATTACACATAAAATAGATAAGCAACAACAACAAAAAATAGATAAGCAACAAAGACTTACTGCTTAGCACAGGGAATTATATTTGATAAATCTTATAATGGCAAATATTTGATAAAACTTATAATGGAATATAATCTGAAAATTACAACTGAATCACTGTGCTGTATACCTGAAACTAACAAAATATTGTAAATCAGCTATATTTCAATTTTAAAAATAGGATATTGTTAGTTTCTTATTTTACATCTTCCACAGCATAGTACAATACTTTGTTTAAACAAGCTCCTTAATAAATGCTTGATGAGTACAAGAATGTCCTAAAACCTACCTTATCTGCCAATAATAATCCTGCAAAGATTTTCTGGTCAGCTGGCTTATTTCCGAATTTTCATTTGCTAATTTGGTAGCATCCGTCAGTGCTTTAAGCTAAAACAAAAGAGCTTTTTTGGTACACTTCACCCCCCTGTTACTATCACTCCAATTCACTTGTAGGTCTAAGTATGTGCAGCAGAAACACAAGTGTATACTTTTTTTGTATTACTGTCTTGTCTTCTGAAATATATTTCATAAAAGTACCTTGGGGCAGAACTGAAAAAGAGCCTCAGTATTTGTCTAAGAAATAAACATTACACCATGAAACTTCTAGGTAGTCATTTGATCAATTAACACAAAGAAATGTCAATCAATCAAGATAGAAGACTGAACACAGGAATCTATTTATCTTCTACCTAATATCTCATGGTTACAGAAAAGATATCTGTCTTTATCCATCCACTGCCATCATCACAACCATATCTATATAAGTATTTTATAATTATATCTACATCTATATCTCTCTATAAAAGAATAAATATATAGCAACATAGAAAAAGAAATAAAATAAAATCAACAAAATATACTGAAGAAACTATAAAACAAAGAGAAATATCCACAGAGAACATCAACAAAGCAATGAAAGCAGGGGAAACTGTTCTCTATTACAGGGATAGGCAGAAAAAGCCTATCACAGTTAGGGAGTTTGTGGGAACTCCAAGACTGGAGTCAATGAATATAAACTTTTACTGTAAGACACAAGGGACGATCTCAACAACTATGAAGACATACTTCATGCCTGGATGAGGAAACCCAATTTTTTAAAGATAAAATTTCCTTCAAAATTAATATAATAACCAGTGGTTCAGATGGTAGAGAATCTGCCTGCAATGCAAGAGACCCAGGTTCAGTCCCTGGGTCAGAAGGTCTCCTGGACAGGGGAAATGGCTCCGCACTCCAGTATTCTTGCCTGTAGAATTCCACGGACAGAGAAGCCTGGTGGGCTACAGTCCATGGGATCGCAAAGAGTCGGACGTGACTGAGAGACTAACACTTTCATTTTCAAAGCAGCTGCAGTGAAAATGGTAGAATAATCTTTAAAATAGAAGTTGACAAGCTAATTCTAATGTTCATATGGAAGATCAACTCTGTAAGAATACATAAATTTTATTCTAGGAAAAAACCAGTGAGGAGGTACTTGTCCTTAGAAAAGTCAGGGTTGTTCATATTGTTGAGCCATCAAATTAACCAACTACAGAACTGCCCTAACTTGGAACTTTTGATATAGAAAGTCATACCTTTTCCTTATTGTTTAAAGCAATTGAGAGAGCTTTCTGTGAATTGTAACCAAAGATATGCCAAGTTACCAAAAATATGCTAACTGTCCTAGGAAATTTAATAAGTGAACAACAAAACCTAAAGTCCCTAAAGAAAAAAACTGACAGATTTGACCTCATAAAATTTTAAATATTTGCAAGAGATAGGAAAAATGAAGTCAAAAGGCAAGTAACAGAATGGGATAAAAATATTTAAAACATATTCAAAAGATATACATTTTGTACATGCAATGTGTGTGTATGTACATATGTAAATGGTTATATGCGCATATGTATATATTTGTACATATATATATATATGAAAACTCTTATAAAGATGAACAAAGCTATACAGAAAACTGGGCAAGTAATATCAACTATTGGTTAGGACTCTGGGAAGCTCGCTCTGTTCTGTATTATCAGTGGAATCTCAAACTGAAAAACTTTCTTAGAAAGGCAATTCATTACTCTGATAAAAATTTAAACTTCATGCACCCTTACTCTTGACCAAGAACTTTCACTTCTACAAATCTAGCCTACAGAAGTTTTCACACATGTGCTCAAATACATAGATACTCGGATGTTCACTGCTTTATTATTTGTAATCGTAAGAAGATGGAAATGACGTAAGAAGTCATTTATGAAGTCATTCATGACCATAAGAAGTGTCAAGACTGAGGAGTGATTGAACATATTAAAATACATGTATACTATGGGTCTATATATAGTGATATGGGACAAGCTCCAAGACTCAGAAGAAATTTTAAAAAGCCAATTACCAAATCATACATACCAGAAGATCAAATTTATCTTAAAGTCTATCATGGCATATGTATATACAGAGAAACATGGAAAAGAGATCTTTAAAGCTGTAGTTTAAACCATGAGTGAAGATTGAAGTGGGACTTTCACAGTATGAAGCTACACTGAATCTCTTACAGTGGGAATGAACTCCTGTATTACTTGTGCAATTTCCCTCTTGTGTAAACTAGAGGGAACAACAGCAGAACTCTGCAAAACTAAGGATCCGTTCTACTCTTTCATACTGTCTACAATATTTCTCCGTGTTCTTTAAGTGGAATTCATAGTCACATAACAGGACATTTTGCAGTTTAACAAATCCTTGGATGTCACTGAGTCTCCTACTACTTTGAACTTCGTTTGAACACACCGAGAATGAGCAGAGCCACATATTTCACATATTTCACAAGGGACTAAAGGGATGCAAAAATTAGAAATCAGTATTTTCGTAGAAGACCAGTGGTCACACCCTGCAACCCTTGGCCTTCTTCCCTCCCTCCTACAGCTCCCTTTCATTCTAGAAGGGCATACACATGCCCTATCAAATTTCTCTTTTTACAATTTACCAGGAAACTGGAGAAAATGTTTATGTGCACATTTTAAAAAATAAATAAATGTGCACATTTTAAATAGAGCGAAGAAAAGTAAAAAGCAACTAAGAAACTACTTTTGGCTCCTAAGAATCATTAGTATAATAAAAATGTTGGAAATAATGATCCCTCAATATTATTTTACACAGAAAGCCATGCTACATGAAAAACAAATGAGTTTTTATGTACAGTAATAGGTAGTATTCTAGTGAAACACAATTGCTATTGCTAGATCAGGCTTCAAAGATTACACAACAGTGTTGGAAAACTATTAAATAGACAAATCATATTTTCAATGACCTATCTATTAGTTTCAGAGTTGATTCTTTCATTCAAAAAAAACAATGGTCATATTAAACTAAAAGTTAGAATATTCAACATTTGTTTTAGGAAATATTCTGACCTTATTAATTCACAGGATTCATTTAGGAAGTACTCCCACACATTTGCTACATGAAAATTCAATCAAATGGATTAAGTCCTCTTTTTTGCACTTGTACTTTAAAAAGCAAATATATTAAGGTATAATTCATTTCTACCTTATTGAAATGTCTTGGTGACCCTACTAGGCTTGATTATTTAACTAAATACCTCACTAAATACTTAAGTGTATTAATTAGCTGAATGAGACCTATCAGAGTATCTTTTCAGAGAGAACACTAGTTAACAAAATATTCATGTATCAAAAACTCAGTATAGAGTCTAAACGAGAGGTACAAATTTATAAAAGTAGTCACTGGGTGTATTTCTTTGATTTCTCCTCAGACTTTATGTACCCTTTATGATGTCATTGGGCTTCCATAAAGAACCTGCCTGCCAAGCAGGAGACATAAGAGACGCAGGTTTGATCCCGGAGTCTGGAAGATCCCCTGAAGCAACCCACTTCAATATTCTTGCCTGGAGAATCCCATGGGCTGAGGAGCCTGGTGGGCCACAGTCCATAGGGCTGCAAAGAGTTGGACGCAGTTAAAGCTACTTAACATGCATGCACGAAAGAATTCTATGGACAGAGAAACCTGGCAGGCTATAGTCCATGGGGTCACAAACAGTTGGACATGACTAAGTGCATGTGCCACACACACAAAAACACACGCGCGCGTGTGCACCCACAAGCGCGCACATACATGCATGTCATTAGATGACTAGTTGGCTAAATCATTCTCATATTAAACTCTATAGAAGGTTCAGGAGCATTAATATTTTTATCAAAAATACTTTCTTACAAGACTTGAAATAGTCATTCGGTTCTTTTAAATAGTAATCACTTCAACTATTCTTCTTGAGTCATAGGATCAAGAAATACCATTGATTAGCAAACTATCTATAAATGCTAAATACCCTGCAGGATATGTTTGAGTCTGTCTCCCTGGCCAGCTAATTCCTACAATTTCTTTTCAGAAAAACTGCAATCAAGCTTTCTTTTATTTGGTTAAATAGTTGCAGTGCTAAGGGAATATTCCACCATAACTTGCTCTGTACTAAGAAGTTTTTTTTCTTTCAATATTAAAGGTTCAGCTCTGTAAATGTAATGAAACCATGCTTACCTTCTCATAAAGCAGCTGTGGTAAATTCTGTTGCCGCCTGTCCTGAAAACACTCATAAAGTTGGAGCAGCCTAGCACATAATACTTGTTCTTGATTGAAGAGAGGATGATGACTGAATTGCAAACCCACTATATTGAGATCTAATTGGTACATTTCCCTTCGACCTTCCATTTTGTTCCTAACAGAGCTTTCTACATCAGATTTCACTGCCTTTTAAAGAAAAGTATTTACACAATGTTAATTCGATTCTATTTTTTTAATTACAAGTAACTCCTTATAAAAGTAACATGCTAATTGTAAGCAAATGAAGACACAGAAAAGCAAAAAACAATTATTTGCTCCTTTCTTAAAACTGATTATAGCCCTTGATTTCATATATCTATATTGGAGCATTGTAATCACCTTACTATAAATGGTCATCTACTTTACTACTCTGTGCAGAGGCTGAACTTTCAAGTTATAAGCCCCCAAGTAATTTCCTAAAGGATCACGATAAAAAAAGTAGTGTTTAGAATTGGTGGGTCAATAGTTCGTTAATGTGATGATCTAATAATCATCTGGAGCCAGACTTAATCCACAAACTATTATCTCTACTCCAATGGCCCTTACAGCATTGAGATTTTTATTTCCCAATGAGAAACCCCAAATGAACCTTGCCTCCATAGCTGGCTGTGCATAATAAAAATTGTAGGGAAGACAGAAGGGAAAGGCAGGCAGAGGTATTTGTCTGACACTAATTCCAGAATATTACCTGCTAAAAATGGTGCTACAGAATTAATTTTAATACTCAAGTTTACATGCTTGGTGAAGTGACATTTATATTTGTTCCCAACTCTAAGAGTCCATGAAACACTGAAATTAGCTTGAATGAAGTTAGAAAAGAGCAGAAAGCTCCGATGATAGTTATTAATAGCATTTTTAGCAATAAAGTGTTTTTTAATTCTGCTATGTACACTGAGTTTTTTAGACATAATGCTATTGAATATTTAATAAACTACAGATTAGTGTAGACATAACTTTTACATGCACTTTTGAAATTTTTCAAAACCAAAAGCTTCATTTGACTTGCTTTACTGTGATAGTCTAGAAGTGAATCAGCAATATCTCAGAGATATGCCTGTACTCCCAAATATCTTTATAAAACAAGCAGGGTAACTAGATAGCAAAACCAAAAATCCATGGACAAGATTTTAAACAAAATTGCATCTGAAAACATCTCCACTGAATCCAAAAATATGAGTGGAGAAAAACCACTAACAGCAAGATCTGCATAGTACTGGTGACTGTATAAAAGTCGAAAGAAGCAATGAGACATCTGACCGTCCTGTTAAAAGAACCAGAAAGAGCCAACAGATACTCATCAGAAAGTACAACAAGCCAATTTAAAAACAGAAGGTAAAACTGTTACAGGTTTTGTGTACTCCAAATACAGGTAACAGCAAGGAATTTTGGTAAAAATATCAACACTCGTTCATGATAAAAAATCTTTGTATTTGTCTTAATTTTAAAAGTAGGACAATTGGATACGGAAGCTGTGGTACATATACACCATGGAATATTACTCAGACATTAAAAAGAATTCATTTGAATCAGTTCTAATGAGATGGATGAAACTGGAGCCCATTATATAGAGTGAAGTAAGCCAGAAAGATAAAGAACATTACAGCATACTAACACATATACATGGAATTTAGAAAGATGGTAATGATAACCCTATATGCAAAACAGGAAAAGGCACAGATGTACAGAACAGACTTTTGGACTCTGTGAGAGAAGGCGAGGGTGGGATGTTTCGAGAGAACAGCATCGAAACATGTATATTATCTATGGTGAAACAGATCACCAGCCCAGGTTGGATGCATGAGACAAGTGCTCGGGCCTGGTGCACTGGGAAGACCCAGAGGGACTGGATAGAGAGGGAGGTGGGAGGGGGGATCAGGATGGGGAATACATGTAAATCCATGGCTGATTCATGTCAATGTATGACAAAACCCACTACAATACTGTAAAGTAATTAGCCTCCAACTAATAAAAATAAATGAAAAAAAAATAAATAAAAGTAGGACAACTAATTAAAGCTTAAATGCATTTTTGTATGGTAAAATGGTAAAAGACTTTCTTAGCAGCAAGAAGTTTTGGTGTATTTTTAGAAAATCCTGAAATAAATTTATAAGTGGTATAAAGATACTAAAAACATATTATGATGTAAGGAATTTAAAAAAATTTTTCTAGATTCTCTGAGAAATAAACAGAGACTGTGGAGAAGAAAAGAGAGCATATATTATGTAGAAAGAAGATTCTCACGTGTTAAAGAAAGATAAGGAGACCTCCAAAAGTATAAATCTCTTCAATTTAGGGAGAAACCTTATTTTCTGTGTAGGCTGAGAAGTATCAGCATTATAAGGAATGAAATGCTCTTGCTGTTAAAATGTTGCAGCTACTGGAATATGAGGGATGGGATGGGGAAGGAGGTGGGAGTGGGGTTCAGGATGGGGAACACATGTACACCCATGGCTGATTTATGTCAATGTATGGTAAAAACCACTACAATATTGTAAAGTTATTAGCCTCAAATTAAAATAAATAAATTAATTTTTTTTAAAAAAGAAAGAAATACAGAAAGGCATTTTTTAAGAAAAAGCATGGACTACAAAAGGCATATAATTACTAGAAGAGGAAAAGTAAAATCATGGCACCTGGTCCCATCACTTCATGGCAAATAGATGGGGAAACAATGGAAACAGTGACAGACTTTATTTTGGGGGGCTCCAAAATCACTGCAGATGGTGACTGCAGCCATGAAATTAAAAGATGCTTGCTCCTTGGAAGAAAAGCTATGACCAACCTAGACAGTATATTAAAAAGCAGAGACATTACTTTGCCAACAAAGGCCCGTCTAGACAAAGCTATGGTTTTTCCAGTAGTCATGTATGGATGTGAGAGTTGGACTATAAAGAAAGCTGAGCACCGAAGAACTGATGCTTTTGAACTGTGGTGTTGGAGAAGACTCTTGAGAGTCCCTTGGACAGCAAGGAGATCAAACCAGTCAATCCTAAAGGAGATCAGTTCTGAATATTCACTGGAAGGACTGATGCTGAAGCTGAAGCTCCAATACTTTGGCCACCTGATGCGAAAAGCCAACTCACTGGATAAGATTCTGATGCTGGGAAAGATTGAAGGCAGGAGGAGAAGGGGGACAACAGAGGATGAGATGGTTGGATGGCATCACCGACTCAATGGATATGAGTTTTAGTGAACTCCGGGTGATAGTTAAGAGCAGGGAAGCCTGGTATGCTGAAGTCCATGGGGTCGCAAAGAGTCATACAATTATGTGACTGAACAGCAACAACAAAGGCAAGTGATTGAGCAATTAAGTTTTTGTACATAATTCTTATTTAAATTTTTTTCATGCCCAGTTTTTAATATAACTAATTCTGTCTAAATATTTCATTAGGTTAATGAACTGCTAATTTTCATAATGTGCTCTGAAATACACATAAAATTTGCTTCTTTGATTATAAGTACAATATATATTCATTTCTGAAATCTAGAAGAGAGTATAAGAAAGAAAATAAAAATAAGCTTATGTCCTACTATCCAAAGATAATTATTAACTCTGATATGTTTTCCAGACTTTTTATCTATATACACACATGTCTGTATTATTCATTGACAAATTCATTCACTCAGTATCAATTTTTATAAAGATAGGATCATATGAAATTTCACATTCTGCTTTTTTTTTTAACTTCACATTCTGAGCTCTCCCCCAGATCATTAAATATTCCTTGAAAACAAAATTTTAATGGCTATTTAATATTTCATCATAGTCTTGCCTTTACTAGATTTACTAATATCCTCAAAAGGTGAATTAACAAAATAAGTATACAAGTAAATATACAAGTTATAATTTATATTATAAGAATTCTAAACATAATCACAAATAAACTGTTGGTTACCTTTCTATACATGGTCTTCAGGGCTGGATTTAAAGGTTCCTTGCTTATGTTTAGTCTGAAATTCCATGACCGTCTAATAGGTGAAGGTAATGACATTATTTCTCCACTTTCTTCAAACCAACACTTTCCCTATTAAAAATATTTAAGAATATAGTAATTAAATATTACACTAAAAACAAATATTGCATACTGCCAGTGGTGATTTAGCTTATCAGGTAGTACTTGCCTCTTCTAGTTTAAGCAGGCGATTTTCCATTTTGTTGCAGGTCTTTTTATATATTTCTGGCTTTTTCTGAATATAGAATCCTTCTTCTTCTAAAATGCGTGGCATCATATCTTCTGGCAGTTTAAGCTGGTTGATCACTTAATAACAAAACCTAGATGTTACTTTTAAGTCCAAAACAGTAAACTGGGATTGACCGAACAAGAAGCAAAAGAGGACTATCATATACTCTACCACTAAAGTCTACCCTTATATCTACTACTGTGGGCAGGAATCCCTTAGAAGAAATGGAGTAGCCATCATAGTCAACAAGCGTTCGAAATGCAGTACTTGGATGCAGTCTCAAAAATGACAGAATGATCTCTGTTCGTTTCCAAGGCAATCCATTCAATATCACAGTAATCCAAGTCTATGCCCTGACCAGTAGCACTGAAGAAGCTGAAGTTGAACAGTTCTATGAAGACCTACAAGACCTTTTAGACCTAACATCCAAAAAAGATGCCCTTGTCATTATAGGGGACTGGAATGAAAAAGTAGGAAGTCAAGAAACACCCGGAGTAACAGGCAAATTTGGCCTTGGGGTATAGAATGAAGCAGGGCAAAGGCTAATAGAGTTTTGCCAAGAGAACGCACTGGTCACAGAAAACACCCTCTTCCAACAGCACAAGACAAGACTCTACACATGGACATCACCAGATGGTCAACACTGAAATCAGATTGATGATATTCTTTGCAGCCAAAGATGGAGAAGCTCTATAGAGTCAGCAAAAACAAGACAAGGAGCTGACTGTGGCTCAGATCATGAACTCCTTATTGTCAAATTCAGATTGAAATTGAAGAAAGTGGGGAAACCACGAGACCATTCAGGTATGACCTAAAGCAAATCCCTTATGATTATACAGTGGACGTGAGAAACAGATTTAAGGGACTAGATCTGATAGAGTGCCTGAAGAACTCTGGACGGAGGTTGGTGACATTGTATAGGAGACAGGGATCAAGACCATCCCCAAGAAATAGAAATACAAAAAAGCAAAATGGCTGTCTGAGGAGGCCTTACAGATAGCTGTGAAAAGAAGAGAAGCGAAAAGCAAAGGAGAAAAGGAAAGATATACCCATTTGAATGCAGAGTTCCAAAGAATAGCAAGGAGAGGTAAGAAAGCCTTCCTCAGCAATCAATACAAAGAAATAGAGGGAAAAAATAGAATGGGAAAGACTAGAGATCTCTTCAAGAAAATTAGAGATACCAAGGGAACATTTCATGCAAAGATGGGTTCGATAAAGGACATAAATGGTATGGACCTAAAAGAAGCAGAAGATATTAAGAAGAGGTGGAAAGAATACACAGAAGAACTGTACAAAAAAGATCTTCATGACCCAGATAATCATGATGGTGTGATCACTCACCTAGAGCCAGACATCCTGGAATATGAAGTCAAATGGGCCTTAGGAAGCATCACTATGAACAAAGCTAGTAGAGGTGATGGAATTCCAGTTGAGCTATTTCAAATCCTGAAAGATGCTGCTGTAAAAGTGCTACACTCAATATGTCAGCAAATTTGGAAAACTCAGCAGTTGCCACAGGACTGGAAAAGGTCAATTTTCATTCCAATCCCAAAGTAAGGCAATGCCAAAGATTGTTCGAACTATCGCACAATTGCACTCATCTCACATGCTAATAAAGTAACACTCAAAATTCTCCAAGCCAGGCTTCAACAATATGTGAACCATGAGATCAAATTGCCAACATCTGCTGGATCATTGAAAAAGCAAGAGAGTTCCAGAAGAACATCTATTTCTGCTTTATTGACTATGCCAAAGCCTTTGACTGTGTGGATCACAATAAACTATGGAAAATTCTTCAAGAGATGGGAATACCAGACCACCTGACCTGCCTCCTGAGAAATCTGTATGCAAGTCAGGAAGCAACAGTTAGAACTGAACATGGAACAACAGACTGGTTTCAAATTGGGAAAGGAGTACGTCAAGGCTGTATATTGTCACCCTGCTTATTTAACTTATATGCAGAGTACATCATGAGAAAGGCTAGACTGGATGAAGCACAAGCTGGAATCAAGATTGCCGGGAGAAATATCAATAACCTCAGATATGCAGATGACACCACCCATATGGCAGAAAGTGAAGAAGAACTAAAGAGTCTCTTGATGAAAGTGAAAGAGGAGAGTGAAAAAGTTGGCTTAAAGCTCAACATTCAGAAAACTAAGATCATGGCATCCAGTCCCATCACTTCATGGCAGATAGATGGGGAAACAGTGGAAACAGTGGCTGACTACTTTTTTGGGCTCCAAAATCACTGCAGATGGTGACTGCAGCCATGAAATTAAAAGATGCTTCCTCCTTTTAAGGAAAGTTAGGACCAACGTAGACAGCATATTAAAAAGCAGAGACATTACTTTGCCAACAAAGGTCCATCTAGTTGAGGCTATGGTTTTTCCAGTAGTCATGTATGGATGTGAGAGTTGGACTATAAAGAAAGCTGAGCGCCAAAGAATTGATGCTTTTGAACTGTGGTGTTTGGCAAGACTCTTGAGAGTCCCTTGGACTGCAAGGAGATCCAACCAGTCCATCCTAAAAGAGATCAGTCCTGAGTGTTCATTGGAAGGAGTGATGTTGAAGCTGACTGAAATACTTTGGCCACCTGATGGGAAGAGCTGACTCATTTGAAAAGACCCTGATGCTGAGAAAGATTGTAGGCACAGGAGAAGGGGATGACAGAGGATGAGATGGTTGGATGGCATCACCGACTCAATGGACATGAGTTTGAGCAAACTCTGGGAGTTGGTGATGGACAGGGAGGCCTGGCATGCTGCGGTCCATGGGGTCGCAAAGAGTCAGACATGACTGCGCAACTGAACTGAAAGTCTACCAGAAGGTCAAATACACAGACAACAGACACAGACACAGACACACACAAGAATGAATGAGCTCTTTTTAACCAATTCCCTTAAACTCAGAGAAAGCACAAAGAATACAGAAAACTTTCTATAATTTTAGATCATTACTTTTTATCTATCCACCATACAAAGAAGCTATTAACCTATACTATGATTCATTAATGACTTGAATATTTTATCATGAAAAAACTTTACCTGGAGAACTACTTGGAATAAAAATATTTGCCTGTTGTTTTTTTATTTGTTCTTGGTCATCTTCATAATCAGCAGCCTTTACTTCAAGTAAATCTGGGAAAATGACTTCTTCCACAAAATCTTCATCTTGGCCCTCAGAAAAGTTCTGTAAATCATCATCAAGTGAAAAATGTTTGTGGTAACTACCATTTACTGATCTCTGTTGAACCCCAAAAGAAAAATAAGTATACATGCTTGTTCCCAATGATTAATGTACAGATAAATAAAATGTACTAAAATCCTGCCATCAAGTCTTTCTGATCTATGCCACCCAGTTCAAGTTCAAACTGAAACCATGTTACAGTGAACTTTCACTGAACACTGAAGAACTCACTTAAGGCTTAATATCAGAAACTATGATTTTCCTATAGCCCTTCATTGCAATTCTCAACAAAATACTACTGAAAAAGAACTACAAGTCTCTCCTCTCCTATGGCAAAATGTTCTGAGATATTGGACTATGATAGTCCAATTGTTGAGAATTCATAGTACAGGGCAAAGTCTAGGGATATCAAGCCATGTGATCTTTAGCCCCATCTTTTTCACCTTTCAGAAAGCAGTACTACCTAAGGTAACGTGGAGCAGTCATGTTCTTTTCTGGATGCTATTTAAGAAAAACAAGTAAAGTAAAGATACAAGTAGAAGTCTGTGACAGATGATCAATTATTTCTGAAATATATATAAAAGTTTCAAACAATGGAGATATTGAAGTAGATATATTACTAAATGTAAAAACATACACTTTTATATATCAGAAATTTTATGTCTCTTCACACACACAAAAAAAATCACCATTTTAGATGACTGTAGTTGTCTAACTTAAAATCTACATATATTGAAAGAAAGAAGGAGACAGAGTATGTGAATCACATAAATAAAAATCCCTTAATTTTCAAAAACATACATTTAGGGATAAATAATTAAATAAAAAGAATCATAAAATTCCTTTGAATAGATAACTGTACATGACCTTGATCAACTCTGACAAAATTGAGTAACACGGTAAAGTATCACCTAGGTTCATATCACGTCATCGCATCCTCATACTTTCTGTATATATCTCTGTCATTAAATCAAAAAAGATTTTAAAATCAGAAATCTTTGTGGCATTTTTTTTCAAAAGTCAAACAAGATATGACACTGACACCTTGAGCAAGATTTGAGGTATCTTCACATAGGGGATCTCTTTGAAGATTTCAACCACAAAGAGGAGCTCTTTGTACCTTCCAAGCTACCTTCACTGCACCCCTCGTAGGGCTTTAAACCTGGCTTCAGAGCTGAGATCTGCCCTGACAGCTGAGTAATATCAAGCTCTCATCTTAAATCCCAGCTTTTTATTTGTGACCATGTAAATCTCTTTCATAAACCCTATCCTACTAAATCTGCCTATGTTTTCAGGAGAAACACATCCAACCTGCTCTGCAGATTGGCCTTTAGTTGAGTCTTCTTCACCACTCAGAACGAAAAATGAAAGACCTTCATCCAGTGGAACTTCAGCCTGTGGGTTAAACAACAGTAAGCCAGTATTCAGTGCTGAAATGAATATAAATAGACTCTCACTTTTCAATACCATAAAGGAATCTTTAAATGTAAATCACCTATCACTTCTTTCTCAGATACATTTAATGGATTGTTTTTAGAGAGATTTGGGAGAAGAATCAGTTTATCAATCAGTCAATCAATCAAACTGCTAGTTCCTAGGAGCCAAAGAATTTTAAAATATGCAAAATACTAAAGCCTTCCTATATCTTATTTGTATTTACAACTTAGCTGGCCCATTAACTTTCAACAATACTTATATATAAATTGTCAGTATATACTTTTACTTCCCTTTGTCTTTACAAAGTCATTTGCTAAAATCCTCAACTTCCTGAGCAGCTAAGCCAATTTATTAGTTTGTAATGGAAATTATTAGAAGCCAATTTCTCTTCCTTTTCACCTCTTTTCTTGACGTTCAATGAAGTGATCTTGACCAATTTCTTCTTTTTTTCTTTTTTACTATTCATAGTTAAATTATATCCAATCTAGGCCCACTTTTATTCATTTGTTGAATGAATAACATATATACAAACATCTTTTCTTTAGTCTGTTTTTACTTTTAAAGTTAATTAAAATAATTTGTACTAAGAATCCAAGGACACTACCAAAGAGGACACATGAATTTTGTAAAAACCCAAGAAATGATCATTGCATTTTAAAGTTTGTAGGGTTTAATACTCTCATTGCTTATGGCAAAATGACTAGTTGTTCATGACGATCTTTTTTCCTATCTCTAATAATAGAATCTTTTAACTAGATATCTAATGCACCCATGTTCTTTTAGTGGAAATAAGGTGTGCAATTTGCAGGTCTTGTCCTGCAAGAGATCAATCTGCAATCCTATGGCTCTCTTCCTCCTGCCTTGCCTTTGGCCAGCAAATGAAAACCCTGGAGTTTTGCCACTGGACTCAGGGATGGAAACCAAGTGTTGAAGAGGCAGAACTCTCCTAGCAGCCTGGTGCGTGTACATACAAGTCACTTCAATCCGACTTCAGTCGCTTCTGTCCGACTCTTTGTGACCTTATGGACTGCAGCCTGCCAGGCTCCTCTGTCCATGGGATTCTCCAGGCAAGAATACTAGAGTGGGTTGCCATGTCCTTCTCTACCTAGCAGCCTGGACTACTTATCTGTTATATTAAAGAGGAATAAAACTTCTACCTTAAAGAAGACATTTTAGTTTGCATCTTTTTGTTAAAGCTGCTTTGCCTTTACTCTAAATAACACAGTTCTTTCAAAATGTGAGTTGTTTTGTCATTTCAAGTTTCAAATATATGATTACACATGGGATTTTAGAACAAAATCTGTAAGTCAGGGATCACCTAAAATACTGTATTATAATTTTTTAGGATAAAAAATAATGTCAAGTATAAATAGAGAGTGACTGAAAACTTGCACAAGAGTCACAAAAATGGTCTAAGATTGGATTATAGTGTTGACTGCATAATTCTGTAAGTTTACTAAAATTCACTGAATTGTACACTTAAAATGGGTGAATTTTTGCTCTGTAAAGTACATCTCAATAAAGCTGTTTTAAAAAGTTAAAAAAGAGCTATTCACCTTAGACCACTGATATATCTTATTATCAATGAGCAGTTGAGTTGATGATTTTTCACCTTGATTAATCTGAAACACAATGCAAATGAAGAGTATGGAAAACAGATATAGATTTAATCATGCTCATAAGTCATCGGCCAAAAATGAATAAAAACAAAGACTTCTCAATGTTTTTCTTTTAAAAAAAGTATATACATGTTCTCTCCTGAGATGTCATATATAGTGACCACAAGTAAATCACTTAATTTTTCTTGGCTTTAGGTTTGAAGGAAAAAAAGCAGGGAAAAGAATCTAAAGCTTTTTGGATTTAAGGAGTTATGTTAAAACTGAATTTTAGCTCTTTTTCTGACAAAGAAAAGTTCATCATGATATATGCTGCATTTAAATAGTAAATTTGAAAATAAGAAAGCAAAAAAAATTAACATTACCTTGGCATTTTTTAGCTTTTCTCTTACTTTGCTTCTCAGAGTTTCTATTATGCTTCGATTTTCTTCTACATTCAAATCTATCAAGAAGCCAACATAATACAGAGCTCATGACACTTTCTTAAAGTATAACTAAATAGCAATACAGCAATAGAATATTTATTAAATAGCTAACTAATATGCATTTCTTTGGATCATGACAATTATAAAGATCAAATCACTGCCCCATGAGAGTTCAGAATCTAGGAAACAGAGCTTAGAACCTTCCTCCTTTTCATCTGGAATAGTCATGCATGACCAGGACTGAATTTTGCAGTTAGGCTAAAAAAAAAAAATTGCTGAGAAACCTTTTTCCCTTTTAGGAAAAAAAATCACACTGAGAAAACTTTTTTTCCTTTTAGGAAAAAAAAAATCCATGAAAACAGTAATATTCTATATAAATTGTAGACAGTCTACAAAATAAATATCAAAGCCATTCTATATAATCTGCTCTATAGTCTACAAAATAAATAAATATCAACACCAACTTGATTAAACTGAAGAGGAAAGAATCTGAAAAAAAGAAAGGTAAGTCTTCAAGCACTCATTTTTAACCACTTATGTCAGTTTTGAAAATTCAGTATAATACTGCTGACCCCAATTTCTGCCAGCTCCTACAAGAAATGAAACAATCCTGTTGAGCGTAAGGACTGCTCCAGCTGTTGAGTGCACTCTAAGCCATGTATTATTTTTGATTCATTCATCAGATGATCTACCAAATGGATTGAGAAGGACAGGAGTCATGTGGTCCTAGGCACAGAAAATGGAGGACCTAATGGTCATTTTGCCTTGTATTTTTCTTTTTCTTCTCCCTGCCTTTGAGTACTTAATGGTAAATAGAAAATGGTGAAAATAAACGGTGAGCATAAAGCTAAATCAGTATAGGTCATGAGAACCTTCTTATTTTTATTTTAACTTTTTGGCCATAAGGCATGTGGGATCTTAGTTCCCCCATCAGGGACCAAACCCATACACTCTGGAAGTGCAGTATTAACCACTGGATCACCAGGAAAGTCCCCAAACATCTTCATTCTTAACTGCAGTATTCTGTGATATAATTTAAAAATTATTAGTTGGTTTGTTTATACTCCATTCCCAGGACTTAGAATGACACATGGCATATAGTATGTGCTTAATAAATATGTGCTAGATGAATGAAGCAGGGATAAACCATTGTTTATATATCTTTCTTCCTGAGATCTGAAGCTTCCTGAAGCATGTTCTAGATCTCTGTATCTTTATGGTTGAACACAGTCTGAATTATGAGGAGATTTTCCATGTTGCAGAGAAAAAGAGAGGAAACAAAATTTAATTTTATTACATGCACTGACTTTACCATTATCTCCTTATGCCTACTCATATCAAATATTATACAGGAAGTTTAGTTTCTGTTTGAACTCATCTTTCAAGAAACTGTGTTCCCAAATGAAACTGTGGGGTAGGATTAGTCATCTATATTAAAAAAATAAAGCCCAGCAGCATCAGAGCCATGGTATACTTATTGAGAACCTTTTTGGAGATGCTTCTCTACATTTTCTTTTCCTGCAGTGTTATCTGTGTCTTCTGACATCTGCAAGAAAAGAAGGGTAGGGTTACCTTGCATCTTTTTGTTCCGGCATGTAAGATTTTTTCATAAGTTCATCAGTCCTTCGAATGAAGAAGGCAATGGCAGCCCACTCCAGTGTTCTTGCCTGGAGAATCCCAGGGACAGAGGAGCCTGGTGGGCTGCTGTCTATGGGGTCGCACAGAGTCGGACATGACTAAAGTGGCTTAGCAGCATCAGCAGCCCTTCAAGAGCTATCTCTTTTAAAATGACAATTCATATCTTTTGCCTATTTTCTTAAATTTCACTCTTTTATCAGTTGGTAGGAGCTCTTTATGGCTTCCCAAGTGGTGCTAATGGTAAAGAATCCATCTGCCAATGCAGGAGAAGGAAGAGATACAGGTTCAGTGAGTTGGGAAGATCCTCTGGAGAAGGGCATGGCAACCCACTCCAGTATTCTTGCCTGGAGAACTCCATGGAAAGAGAAATCTGGTGGGTTATGGTCCATAGCGTCGCAAATAGCTAGACATGACTGAAGTGACTTAGCATGCAGGCATGAGCTCTTTACACATAGGAGATTTTTAAATTAAGAAATTGCTCTCTGTAATATTTAAAAGGACATTTTAATGATAAAATCCAGTAGTTAGTTCTTAGTGTTCATATATTGCCTACTTCATGTATCTTTTAGGAAGATCAAATGAGATCAAACACATAAAAATACTTTGAAACTCAACACCATATCAATGTTAGCTATTACCTGAGTACTCTGTAGCATGTGATAACTTTCTAAAAGCTTTCCAGATCCTTGTCCTCTATCATTCTACCTCTCTGGTCACTTACTCCTTGTTGCCTTCGTTGGTCACACTTCTCTTAATAGCTTAAAGGTGGGTACATTCAAAGGCTTTGCAGAATGTATATATTCCCATGACTTCCTAAATGTGTCTCTAACCTTGACTGCTCTCCTGAATACCATATTTCTAGTTGCCTAATGGTATTTCTAATTGAATATCCTACCATTATCAAAAACTCAACATATTAATTTATTTCCTCCACCACTTTTTAAACCTCAATATTCCAAAATGAAACCATACTAGCAATGTTAAACTCTTTTTCAGCACAATATGGATAGGTTTGGTTTTCATTTTAAGTTAAAAAAATAGAATAGCAAAAGACTCTTTAAACAACTGTACATGCTAACCAAACCAGTGTGCAGCTGGAGTGGGAGGCACAAGCAGACACACATCAGATTTATAATCACAGTAAAAACATGAATTCGAGTCAAACGCCAAAGCAGGGTATTGACATGAGGGTATTGACATGACCATAGTTACACAAGTTTAGTCTATACACTTTCTGAAAGAACTCCAAAATCCACCAGTGGTTTCTGTACCACACTTAACAATTGCTGAATAAGGTCAATACAAATTAAGATGTTCTGTTCTTAATAAACCTTCAGCATTTTCCTCAACAAAATTAAAAATACCTACTTTTATTCTTGACCAAGGGGACAGCAAATCTTGAAGGTGTGATGGAACATCAATGCCACTGAGTGACAGAGGTCTCCTTTAATTCCTAATAATATCACCCAACATGCTGGATATACTTTTCATAACTGCCCATCCCCAATTAGAAGACAGGAGTAAAATATGAATCTTAATTGGAATTACTGCAGGTGACATGTAGATACCCGTCCTAAAAATGTTTCACTTGCTGACTAAAAAAAGGAAAAACATCTTTTTTTTTTTTAGCAAAGCAGGGAACTGATTGCTGGGTGGGTGGCTGAGAGAACAGATAAATAAATATTTAAATAAGGGAACAAATAAATAAGCAAATATATAAGTAATTCACCTCTAATACTCTTAATTACATAATTGACAGATCAAACAGTATATCACCCTTAAATTCTCACATTATTTTTTAACATATGAACTGTATAATTTGTATATAAAACCAAATACATAATTTTTTCCAAGATTATCCTACATTTATAATTGAGTTATTCTGCATAATCAAAATCCTTATAAACTCCATTAATACCTTACTTTTCTAAAAATATCTTCTTTTCTCTTTGAAATCTTTTTCATGATGGTTCTCTCATTTCCACTTTCTAAATAAATAAGAAATATTTTTAAGAATGATATATCACTGAGAGAAAATAACTATTTTGATGCATAAGATAAACTTATACTATGTAAAATTTTTAATTTAACTAAAAACTAAACAAAGAAACACACTATTGCCTTTAATACTATTTAGTTATTGATCATCTTTAATATTTAATCTTTACTGGTACTGGCATATGGAAAAGGTGGAACTTAACCAAAAAATTCTACAATTAAGTGTGAGACAGAATTATTTCACAATGTTTCACAAAAACTAGCATGAATTCCATGTATTCCATACCTAAGTCTGAAAATTAGTATCTTTTCTTAAACTGTGATCTTATTTTCTAAAAGAAAACCTAGCAACAAAGTCTTGACAAAGGATTTTCTGATCCATGAATCTGTACCTGTCTTTGAAAGTCATCAAAATTAAATCATCCATTGTTCTCAGAACTAAGCCTGAAAACATCACAACCAGTTTCTGTAGGTCAAGAAAGATTGGGTCTAATTCCCTTGAAACTTCTGGCATTATAATACATAAAAAGTGAATAGGTGACAAAACAAATTATAAAAACTGTAGTATATTTTGAAAGATTATATCCAACACACAATGCAATATAATTTTACTACCCACAAAGTTCATCCCAGGATTGATAAAAATGTATTAACCCATAGAGCACTGAGAACCATGAGGTCTAGAAACTGGACACAAGTTAAGTCCTGTGATGCTGTATTTTATTTAAACCTGAACATGTATCTTGGCGCCTGTACTTATAGTCCCTGCTGGAGAGAAACTCAAAAGGGAGCACCTTTCTCTAAGTGAGGCCAAGAAAGCTTCTGTCCACTTCCCCACTTTAAGCCCTGCTCACCACTCTTCAAAATAAACCTTCAGCTATACTCAGACCAAACTCTTCTTTATATTCCCTGGCATTTCCATTGTTTGATTTTTCCAGCTTTCCCTTAATCTAGAGCATTCCACGTTTCAAAGCCTCATTCAAACCTCACATCTTCCAGGATTTTTTTTTCCCCCTGACTCTGGTCCTTTTATGATCTCCACTAGGCTGCTGGGCTGCCGTCTATGGCTTCGCACAGAGTCGGACACGACTGACGCGACTTAGCAGCAGCGGCAGCAGCACTGATAATAACGTATTTTTTGTTCATTACAGCCTACCTTGCAAGCTCACTTTCTGCCTGCTCTAAAGTGAGGACGAGAGTTGGGCACTGAACTCATCTGCCCTCCACCAATCCTAGCAAAGCATTCAGCACACAGTAGGGACCCAATAATACGAACCTGGATTTGAAACAAATCAAGCACTGCTCTCGAATGCTGTATGATGGAATGGTTCTCAGCCTGATCAATTCCCAACGGTGATGACTAATGGATGGGCCAGATTTTAGGGACTACAAGTCTCAGTGGCCCATGCGGGTCTGGTCCTGGTACTCTGGGGACTCCGCCGGCTCTTTACACAGAGTAGGGCTGTAACCAGACAAAATATTGGAGTGTCCGACAGGGAAGGGTAAGGACATTTTATGGGTCATTAAGACATTCACCTGGATGGTCGGTGCACTTCTGCTACGTCTGGGCGGCGAAGTCAGGACGCGCAGTTCACCACGGACTCTGAGCTGTCACCAACCGCCCCGCAGCGCTCGCGACGTCTACACCCCACGCACCCCAAGCCTGCGGAGCTCTTCCTCCTCAAGGCTGGACGTCTAGGCGGTCCCGGAGCATGCGCGATGTGGCCGCTCAGCCAGCCTGGCGGGAGCGCGCGCCGAGCCCGTGCCTTCCGGAATCTTCGGTGCGCTACTTCTGCTCACCTGGCTGTCAGGGCTTAACACTCGCCCTCGTCTCCGCCTAGCGTGCCTGGTGGGAGCCGCGGGTTTTGATCACCCGCCGCTGAGCTTGTGCCTCAGTAGCCGCAGTTGCCCTGCGGCAAGAGATCTGAAAGCGGGCTGGCCTGGACCGTGACAGCTCCACATCTCTCGTCCTGGTGAAGAATTGTATCTGGGTAAAGTCTCGGCCGCACGCTACCCGGCCTGCGCGGGCCCGGGGTGACCACCCGAGTCTCCTCTGAGCAGGTGTTCCTGGTGGAGGATACTCCCCAGCTGGCCGTGGAAGTGCGGTCGCCCACGCCGTCCAGGTGCGCCTGGGAGCCTGCGACATGCTTCGCTCTGCGCTGCCTCTGCCTTGCCGCGAGGAGAGAGATACTTTGAGTTCAGGCGCTTTGGGTGTGGCATCTCAAAAGACCGCCTGGAATATGCAGGGATTGGGCGGGGGGCGGGGGGCGGGGGGCGGATAGTGGTGGTGGTGGTTCCTTTCTCCTTCCGGAGCCTGCTATTAGTGTAACCAATTTATTTTTCGATCTTAAAATAGGGCATGCTGGACACACTCGCTCATATCATGTCATCCTTGCTTAATAATAATAATAAACTTTACATGGTCTTATCTTCCTTTCCCAGTGATTGACCGCCGTGTTAAAATAAAGAGTTAAATACAATGTTCTGTGGTTGGAAATTTGTCGTGGCAAACTCTTGGCGGGGGCGTGGGGGGAAGTGAGGAAACTTGTTAGTATGGAAAGACGCACAGCGATGCTATGTACGCTTTCATTCATTCAAACGTTTAGCAAATGTTTATTAGCTGCTTTCTCTGTAAGGCGTTGTGCTTAGCGCTTTAATTCTAGAGAAACTTAGAAAGTGTTTAAAACTTCTAACAAATCTTGTACATTTAGGGGAGGGGAGATGTGGAAGTAAAGAAACTGCTGCAAAACTAATGTTCCAGGTTATACTGGTACATTATGACATAAGTAGAAATAGAACTGAAGTTCTACTCACCTAATAATCTGAAATAATGCATACAGATAAACGTGTCCAAACCTCGAAATCATTTGGCCAAACTGTCATTCTGAATAAAAGCCTCACTGCGTCTCCCATCTTGATTTTCTAGGGCTCTTCTGTATAGGAATTTAGGAAAAATGATAGTGGAGAAAAAAAGTCTAGAAATATTTCCTTTAAATAGCAACGTTATGGAGTATGTGGACATGTGCAAATAATTTGTAATCTGTGGTGTTCCTTAAGTACACCTAACTCCTGGAATTATTATTATATTAATAGTGTCTTCTCAGTTCACCAACTCCTAATCCTGTCCCCTAGTTCTTCAGGTTAAGCTTTGAATACTCCAGAAACTCTTCACATAGGACATCATGATTATGGGCTAGTTCTTTTCTTTTCCGTTTGAGTCTTTGTTTCAGTGTGAACCTGTGCTGTGCTTCCTCACTCAGTTGTGTTCAACTCGTTGTGACCCCATGGACTGTAACCAGCCAGGCTCCTCGGTCCATGGTGTCCTCCAGGCAAGAATGCTGGAGTGGAGTGCCATGCCCTCCTCTAGGGAATCTTCCAACCCAGGAATGGAGCCCAGGTCTCCCACATTGTAGGCAGATTCTTTACCATCTGAGCCACCAGGGAATTCCATTAATACTGGAGTGGGTAGCCTATCCCTTCTCCAGAGGATCTTCCTGACCCAGGAACTGAAGCAGGGTCTCCTGCATTGCAGGCAGATTCTTTACCAGCTGAGCTGCCAGGGAAGCTCCAGTGTAAACCTAGTTTGGCAGTAAAGACAGCATATTCTATATAGGGTCAACAGATTGTTTCTTAAAAGGCCAGATAGTAAATATTTTAGGTTTGTGGCCATATAGCCTCTGTCACAACTACTGAAGTCTGCCACTGTAGCCTGAAAGCAGCCATAGGCAACATAAAGAAATGGGCGAGGTTGTGTTTCAGTAACACTTTATTTACAAAAACATCGCTTAGCTTCCCAACCCCTGTTCTATACAATTTCTATCTGCTGTGGGTTAATTTTATTTCCTTCCTCAGGGTTGAGTCAAAATGAATTTGCACTTTGTCTTATCACAACTTGAGTAATGTGCTGTACCATCACTTGTGATGTAGTCTGTACAAAGACTTCAGCAAGAGAACCCATTAAATGACACCAAGCCATTTACTGCAAGTAAGGGATGGTTATACAGATTCAGGAACAGTTTTGTACTGAAAAATGCAACAATTACTGGAGAGGCTGCGTCTGCTAGTGAAGAAGCACTGCCACATTTCCAACAGAACTGAAGTTGATTAAGGAGACCAACCACATTCACATAACTTTTATTACAGTATATTGCTGTAATGTTCTATTTTTAAATTAGGCACATAAGAGATTGACAATAACCAATAATAAAATAAAACAATTACAGCAATATGCTGTAATAAAAGTTATTATTGATTATTGTTGTCAATCTCTTATGTGCCTAATTTATAAATTTTATCATATATATGATATAGGAGAAAACATAGTATATATATATAGTTCAGTACTATCCACAGTTTCAGGCATCCATTGGGAGTCTTGGAATGTGTACCTTAGAAATAAGCAGGGATTACTGTACCTACTTTGCTTTTATCATTTAATTAAAATTGCCTTCCCAGAGATCACCAACAATCCAGTCAGATCCCTCCGCTTTTCTTTGTTAATGATCTCTGGGATCATTAACCACTCTCCATGTATACTTTATATTTTTAGTTTTGCACATTATTATTCAAGCTTGTCTCTTAATTTTCTGGTAGTTGCCAATCACCTTAAGTTGTCTCTTCTTCCTTCTCACTGCAGATATTTTATAGACTCTGTCTTTGGCTTTGTGCTTTTATTCCTATACTCCATTTTTAAAATCACATTTTCTTTTCAAATCACAAGTATTTGGTAAAGTTTATTTAATAACTCATAGAAGAATGACTGTTTTATATTCATTTTTAGAGACCCCATCTGTTTTATTCTATAATGCACTAAAGTCTTTTTTTTTTTAGTACTTAGTAGGCTAAATAAAGGGCTTCCCAGGTGGCACAAGTGGTAAAGAACCCACCTGCCAATCCAGGAGACTGGATTTGATCCCTGGGTTTGGAAGATCCCCTGGAGGAGGGCATGGCAACCCACTCCAGTATTCTTGCCTGGAAAGTCCCCATGGACAAAGGAGCCTGGAGGGCTACAGTCCATAGGGTCACAAAGAGTCGGACATGACTAAAGCGACTTAGCACACACAGGCTAAATAAAATTTAGCTAGAAACTGAATTTTTCCTGGGAGTTGGAAATGTCCTTCCCAGTATTTATTCAGGTATTCTAGGAGGAAAATTTACTGGTTAACTCATTTCTATTTCTTACAAGAAGTCCTCAGTTAAATCTCTCTCATGTTTTTCTTCTCTTGGAAACCTTTTGCTTGTGCTTATTTATAGCCCTTACCTGAGGCAATGTTCTTCCCAACACATGGCAAAGTACCAGGAAATCAACACTGGGAACCTTTACTAGAATTTAGAAAAGTCACTTTTTTTAATTTTTATTTTTTATTTTATTTTTTTTTCCATTTGAAAAGTCACTTTTCGAACTCAGTATTCTGTTAAGATAGTGATTGCTGTTCCTAAACTAAGATATAATTCTTCCCATCTTCTTCTCTAGCCATTATCTCTGAGAATTTCCTTTATAACATGTCCAGATGTCAGTTTTCTTCTTTTTGAAACTAAGCAACAGGGACTTCCCTGGCTGTCCAATGGTTAGGACTCTGCACTTGCACTTCTGGGAGCCCAGTTCAATCCCTGGTCCCAGATCTAAGATCCTGTAAACTGTGTGCTGCAGCGCTCGCACCTACCCCCCTAAAAAAACCAAAAAAACCTAAGCAACATTGGAACCATCCAAAATTGTATGTCTCTTTTAGCATATTCTCAGCAGGCATTCCTAAAGAATATATTGTTTAATTTTCTCTTCTTTAATAAAGATACAGTATTCATTCAGAATCTTTTATATGCTGCTTAGCAGTTCTCCCAAGATCGCTACATGTCAGATATAGTACTAAACATGGCTACAGAGGTCAGGAAGAGCCCTTGCCTTCAAATACATAGGTAAGTTAACCAGCAAATATAATAGGGTAGGTGCTATAATACAGGACACACTATCTATTCCTTTTCATTCTGTAAGTATTTATGGAGTACCCACTGTGTCCTAGAACTCTGCTTGGCTCTGGGAAGTCAATATTGAATAAGAAAGACCAGATTCCTTCTCTTATCTTGTCTTTGTGTGGACTAGCAAGGCCTTATATGAAGGATTTCTGCACTGCTGTTCCCGTTACCTAGAATATTCTATCTTTGCATGGCTGACCTCTTAGTTTAAATATCACTTTAGAGTCAGCCTCCCTGGTTGTCTTATTTAATATTGTCCTTCTCCACAAGTCACTGCCTATTGCATTATCTTGAATTTCCTACAAAGTAACTATTAGTTCTTTTTTGAGAACAAGGACTTAGCCTTGTTTGATCATTACTATATCTCTTAAGTGTTTAAATGGGCTTCCCAGGTGGTGTGCAGTGGTAAAGAATCTGCTTGCCAAGCAGGAGATGTGGGTTTGATTCCTGGGTCAGAAAGATCCCCTGGAGAAGAAAATGGCAACATACTCCAGTATTCTTGCCTGGGAAATCCCATGGATAGAGGAGCCTGGTGGGCTACAGTCCTTGGGTAACAAAAAGCCTGACACAACTGAGCAACTGAGCGCACACACACAAGTGTTTAAACAGTGCCTGGCACATTTAAGGCTCCTAATAAATATTAATATTTGCTGAATGGACAAATGAATGAGTGGATGGATAGTGCTGATTCAACAAATAAGGTAATTTCAGGTAGTGAAAGAGTAGGTACTCAGAGAAAATATATGGAAGGGTGGAGTCAGGGAGGTCTGATGTCCACTACTTTAGTACTCCTGACCTTACTCTCTTTCCACCTTTATCTCTTCTGTCACCCTTTCGTCATAGTGCCTGTTCTTAAACTTAAGCCCTTAATTTTTATGATCTCTTGGCCACAGGAAATAATATTTATATCTTAACAGTGGAAAATCCTCTCTAAAATTTTGCTTGGCTGATGACCTTTACCTCGTGGTTCTTAACCTTCATTCTTTCCATTAAAGCAAAATAGCAAAATATCTGTCAATTTTTCCAAGATGCAAATGATGAGCCCATTTGTTTTTTTTTTTGAGCCTTCGGCAAGTTGTAATATTTTGCAGTAGTATCAGATCACTGATCACAGATCACCACAACAAATAGAACAATGATGGAAAAGCTTGAGATATTGCCAAAATTACCAAAATGTGATAGAGGCAAGAAGTGAGCAAATGCTTTTGGACAAATGGCACCACTAGACTTGCTTGATGCAAGGTGGCTACAAACGTCAATGTGTAAAAAACAAACACAACATCTGCAAAGTGCAGTAAAGTCAAGCACGATAAATGAGATATGCTTGTATATACAATGGAATATTATTCACCCACAAAAAAAGAAATCTTGAATTTGCTACAACATGGATGAACCTTGAGGGCATTATGCTAAGTGAAATAAACCAGAAATATAGATACTGTATGATCTCACTTTTACATGGAGGACTCTAAAAACAAGCAACAATCAGCCAAAAACAAATTAAAGAAGAAAGCTCACACAACAGAACACACTGGATTGGTGGTCGCTGGAGGAGGGAGAAATGGTGAAACAGTTCAAAGGTACAAACTTAAGTCATAGGGGGATGTGTAATGTGCAGTGTGGTAACACAGTTAATAATATTTGTATTGTCTATTTGAAAGTTGTTAGTTCTCATTATAAGAAAAATTTTGGTGTGGTGACAATGTTAACTAGACTTACTATGATCATTTCACAGTGTATAAAAATACCAAATCACTATGTTGGTACCTGAAACTAATATAATGTATGTCAGTTCAGTTCAGTTGTTCAGGCCTGTCCAACTCTTTGCAACTCATGGACTACAGCACACCAGGTTTCCCTGTCCATCACCAACTCTCTGAGCTTGCTCAAACTCATGTCCATCGTGTTGGTGATGCCATCCAACCATCTCATCCTCTGTTGTCCCTTTCTCCTCCTGCCTTCAATCTTTCCCAGCATCAGGTTCTTTTCCAAGAAGTCAGTTCTTCGCATCAGGTGGCCAAAGTATTGGAGCTTCAGCTTCAGCATCACTCCTTCCAATGAATATTCAGGACCGATTACCTGTAGGATGGACTGGTTTGCTCTCCCTGCAGTCCAAGGGACTCTCAAGAGTATTCTCCAACACCATAGTTCAACAGCATCAAATCTTCGGCGCTCAGCTTTCTTTATGGTCCAACTCTCACATCCATACATGTCTACTGGAAAAACCATAGTTTTGACTAGACGGACCTTTGTTGGCAAAGTAATGTCTCTGCTTTTTAATGTGCTGTGTAGGTTGGTCATAGCGTTTCTTCCAAGGAACATGCGTCTTTTCATTTCATGGTTACAGTCACCATCTGCACCCTAGCTGCAGTCTCATCCATGTGCCTTGCAAGCTCCTTTCTCTAGGACCCTGGGGGGTCAGCTCCGGCTGCTGCTGCTGCTTCCTTCTGGGTTCCCGGCCGCCTCTCGTCCTCCCGGCCCCAGTTCTGAGCGCACTTCCTCCTCTTCTCCCACTACCATCCCTGAGACCATGGGAGGCTTCATATCACGCGGGTCTTCCCGGTCTTCCAGACTGTGAAAGCGTCATCAGGCTGCAACCCCCTCCCCCGCCCGCCCCCAGCCGAGGCTCCAGTCTTGAGCGCTGTGGATGAATCAGACTCTGCGCCGGGATCTGCGCGGATGCCCTCGTCGGGGGTAGACCTGGGGCTAACCGCCGGGGGCAGGTCGTCTTTGGGGCGCCTGGTCCCTGTTAGCGGTTATAGCTTGTGTGTCGCCGATCCAATGTGTAACTTCTCCTGGTTAGGCGCCCCCGCTTCCTCCCTGGAGCCCCTCCCTGACGCCTCTCCCTGCCTTCCTCGCACCCCCCGCCCTCCCCATTTGCCTTTTTTTTTCTTACTTTGTGCTCAGCTTTTATGCCTAAAAGCCTATGACCCTCTTTCTGATTGAATTTTAAAAATTTGAATTGATATTTTTCCTCTAGTAATCTTGGAATGGATATCTGGGATTTCTGATGAAGCAGCCAATCTCCCATCCAATTCTATGGAAGAATCCATGGATTGACCCTCAAAATGAAGACTTTTGTGGGTAAAAGAGACATGATTTTATATTAATATTTTATAAATGTTACAAAACGTATTTACTAAGAATCAGGAAATGTGCGTTAAAACTTTAGCTCTACTGCTTATAAATTGTATATAATTTAGAACAAGTGACATAACCTTTCAGGCCACTCTTGTTTAATTTGTAACCTAAAGCAATTGGACCAGATCAGTTAGCTTTTGTTAAGATGCATCATAAGGATATCGAAAACTAGTATTTCATGAGATATTATTTGTTTTACAGGAGTAAAGTGTTTAAGTCAAATAAATTTTGGAAATGCAAACTGCAATCAGCGTGAACATTACTTTATAAAAAGCCCTTAGAATTCTTGAAGAATATATTGAATTTTTATATGTGGAATCTAAAATGTCACAAATGAATTTATCTTTGAAACAGAAACAGACTCACAGACATAGAGAATAGACTTGTGGTTGCCAAAGGGGAGGGGGTTGGGGGAGTGATGGATTGAGAGTTTGGGATTAGAAGATGCTGCTGCTACTGCTGCTGCTGCTAAGTCACTTCAGTTGTGCCTGACTCTATGTGACCCCACAGACGGCAGCCTACCAGGCTCTGCTGTCCCTGGGATTCTCCAGGCAAGAACAATGGAGTGGGTTGCCATTTCCTCCTCCAATGCATGGAAGTGAAAAGTGAAAGTGAAGTTGCTCAGTCATGTCCGACTCTTTGCAACCCCATGGACTGCAGCCCACCAGGCTCCTCCATCCATGGGATTTTCCAGGGAAGAGTACTGGAGTGGGGCGCCATCGCCTTCTCTGTAGAAGATACTAATTACTATTATATATTTTATATAATTATTATATATTATTAAGCTATTATATATAAAATAGAAAAACACCAAGATTCTACTGTATAGCACAGGGAACTATTTCAGTATCCTGTAATAAATCATAATGGAAAAGAATATGAAAAAGAATATATATAACTGAGTCACTTTGCCATATACAAGAAACACACAAATTGTAAATTAACTATACTTCAATACATTTTTTAAAAAGAATTTATTAAATTTTATTTAACCCAGAATTTCCCAAAATTATTTGCGCACAGAACTCTTGTTTCCCACACAGGACAAGCATTAAGATGACATGGGACACTAATCTTCTCCAAACTGTTTAGCAAATATTGATTAATCTGAAAGTAATATATTGGAGACAAGATCATTGTTCTTGATATCAGGTTTCTACTGGGGTGGTAATCACAAGATTGGAAAGGGGAATCAAAATGAAAAATGCTGTAAAGGCAGAATGGGCGGGTCTTGGCCAGGATAGGCCCCTGTCACTTCAACATTGATAAAGTTGATTCTGATCTTGGTTTCTTAAGAAAGTGGTGGTGTTAATCATGATAAAATGCAGGAGGAGGAGCAGGTTTATGAAAAAAGGTAGAGCTCAGTATAAGTCATCCTAAATACACACTGTTCCCTATCTAGCCCACAGGACTTTCCTTCCCTCTCTTCTTAGACCCTTGCTATAAGAAATGATGTTGTTTTTAGGAGACTGTATCTCACTTTTCATTGACTAATCCATGTTCTCTGGTATTCATCGTGCAAAAGGGATATATAAATAAAAAGTCAACTCAGGTGCTGATGAGGCTGATTCCATCATTATATCATCAATATAAATTTAGAAATTAATTTACTTAAAATAGAGAAATGCAAAAGGCATAACAACACTTTTAAAACATGTAGACTTAAATGCCACTTTGGAAGAAGAAGGCTTATGGAGACATTCTTAACCTGTGATTAAACCAATTATGTTCAATTGCACAATTTTATTCTTGTGCAAATAAAAACTTAGATAGTTAACTATATGCTATCTTAAACATATAAGGAAAATAAATAGATGGTCTGTTAGTTAATCTGTCATTTTAGAATGTGAAACTAATGTGGGAGGTGCCAGAGCATCCTGGTTAAGGCTGTGGAAAGAAGATGGAATTGATGATGTCTTGGAAGAAATGACATTTTTTAAAGAATATTCCTTGGCAAGATAAGTAGATTTCAGTTTATGGAAAATATACTTTGTGTTTTAGTTAATGAGAAACTGGTAGATTGAATCATTGTGCCCAGTGTTTCATGAATTTTTTGTTACAATTAGTCATTCATGTCCTTTGCCACTTTGACTCCGCCATTCTTGCCAGTGTTTCTTTAATTGGTAAAGTTGGGCTTGGTTATATGACTTATTTTGGTCAGTAGAATGTGAATGGAAGTGACAGGGCCATGTCCGGGCCAAGACCTGAAGAGGTATCCTGCATTTTCTGTCCCTTTTGTGTCCCTTCTACTCAGAACACAGCTCAGGAAGCCACCAGACAAGGAGAGTGGAGATAATGGAGCAGACCTGCACTTGACCTACTGCCTGAAATAGAGATACTAGCGGACTTGAGACCCATGAACATGAAAATCAATGTTTATTGTGGTAAGCCACTGAAATTTTGAGGTCATAAGAAATTTAAAAACAAAACAAAACTAGTACAAATGGAAATACCTGGCTAGTGCAGGCTAATTGTGAGCAACTTGTTATGTTCAAACAAGATAGCAATTATCAGACTCTGAATAAGACTGGGATAAAACCATTTTGGTGAAATTCAGCTCGTCTTTCAAACTGACAATACATGAGAATGTATTTTAATAGTAACTTTACTATTATATGGTAAACTTTGTGAGTTCTTAAGAGACTAATCTTTATTTTAATTTTCAAATTTACACTTTGACTATAGAATATAAGCATCCAAATTATCTTGTATTATCTTTAAATCCAGATTAAATTTCCTAAAGTTTAGGGTTAATCATCAAGCATCTTGTTCTGAATGACAGGCATCTCTATTGTCACAAAAAAATGCAACAAAACCTGAGGAATAATGTGAAATCCTGAGCTGGGATGTTAAAAGCTGTTAAGGATAGTGTTAAACTTCATATATAATAAATAATAGCAAGGATGTTATAGCATCTATAGCTGTTTAAAGAAAGTTTCCCCTGCCCCCAGAGAAAGACAAAGTATTATTACCTGTATTTTTTTAGCTTTGAATGTACTTTTTGATATGTGCTGTTTAATATGGTAGCCACTAGTCACACATAGCTATTGCACTCTTAAAATATAGTCCTGATTAGGATGTGCTCTAAGTGTAATATACACAACATATTTCAAAAACTTAATATTAAAAAATAAGAAATCTCATTAATAACATATTAATTACATGTTGAAATGGGCTCTAGGCACCTTCATTATAAGTATCTTTACCATTGACATCTCTGCCACAAGCGTTTTTGCGGCAAATATTTTCATCAAATAACTCATTGCCTATGAGGCACATTCTCCATGAAAGATAAAATAACCGAGGTGAGAGTTTTTGGTTTGACAGTTTGGTTTCAGCTGGTTGAAATGTGTTAACATTTCTTCTAGTTGGCAATTATTATCGATGGCTTTATTGAGCTGGCATATGACAGTGATTTGTCCCAAGAGTTGGTTTCTTATTTTAAAACACTACTTTGGAGGAGAAAGAGGCCACAGTCCTAGAAGGTGGAGAGGGAAACCCACATTTCCCACATGACTTTGGAATGTCTGTCAATGGACACGTGACAATATGTCAAGAACAAACAACACCTGCGTAGAAGCTTTCACAACACAGCACAAAGCTCAGTTACAAAGATACCTCTAAGTACTTGGAAACTTACATTGTTCTTTATGAAGGAAGAAGTTTTAGTGAACAAGAAAAAGTATGATGCAGAATGAGGAGACAAACCAATGAGCCAAAAAAAAAAAAAAAAACCCGTATAAAATGCTATGAATGAAAGACTTGGAAGACAAGTACTTAGGTACAACCTGCAAAATAAAATAAGCTATTTGTACAGTATTGCCATGAATCTACACACATTTCAAATGTACTCAAACATTTTATATTTCACAATGTCTTGAATTTTGTTATTATTTCATTGTGTCCTTTAATTGCCCCTCTTTTATTTTCCATTATTTTATCCTTTATGGCAAAATTGCTTCCGAGCCAATTACTGCAGTGAAAATGTGTCCACAAGTGCTTGTGGCAAAGATGTCTATGGCAAAGATGCTTAAAGCAAAAGTACCTAGAACCAGCAATAACACTTGTAGATGTGGTTCCTGGCACATTTTGTTGTGTAAATACCATGACACCAAAAAGGCATGCCACTCTCACTCATGAAGTTCTCTCACTAAATTAGATCCTGGGACAGTAAGATACAGCATGGCTTTAGTGAGCATCTCAGTGAGCATCTTTGTGGTGCAACTGGTTAGCATGTTTAGTAAAATGGAAAGGTTGATGGTTCATGTCTACCTCAGGATGGTCTTATACCCAGCCAATTTCTTGGTGATGAAAATATTCTGGAGTTGGATAGTAGTGACAGTTGCACAGCATTGTGAATGTACTAAATGCCACTAAACTGTTTATGTTATAATGGTGAATTTTAGGTTCTATGCCTTTTACCACAATAAAAACCAACCCCAGGAGATGTTTTGGAGGACGCATTTTTCCAACCTTATGTTGTAACTGTATTTTTCTTCCTGACATGTGTACACCTACTAAATAATATGCCCTGATATCTGAATGCCTATATATATGTACAGCAGCTTTTAAAATAATCTCTGGTATGGGTGTCCCACTCTGTAGCATTTTTGGCATCACCCGGGAATATGTGACTTAGGCAAAAACCCTCTTTTGGCTTGGATTAACTATTGTATTTACTGCCTGAGCACAGAAATTCCTTTGCAAGACTCTTTTGCCCTAGCACACATTTGCTTAGTCTATAAAATTTTCCCATGGAAAGAGCAGGCTGGGCTTGGGTGTGTGTCTGTCTTCTCCAAAAGCATTGTATGGCTTTCTTAATAAATGGGAAACAGGTCTGTAAGATCACAAATGTGTTAGTTCCCAAGATTCTTCTTTTAGCCTGGGCAGCTTCCCAGCACAGGACTCAAGATTCTCAGTTCTTTTGGACAAAGTCAATATTGTTCTTTTATAAAGCAATGATCATGAAAGGAGGCAGGTGTTTAAGACCTACACAAACAAAGAGTACAAAAGAGAAAGAGGGGACGTTTGGAAAGACTCACAAAAAAGACAGTGTCTGCCAGGAAGTCTTTGAAGCAGAGGGTGGTGAATACCTCCCACGGAGAGGCTTTAGCAAAAGCCAAGGAAGCCTCATGCTGGTCAAGACTGGCCTTGGTGAGCAAGAAGTGGTGACCTTGTGCACCACAGTGGAGAAAAGTGCTTCCTGGGCAAGTTTTCTCGCTCCAGCCAGAAGATTTCAGCTACTCCTGCTATATCATGTCTTTCCTGAAATACGAAGGCTTGTGAAAGACAAGTATGCCTACGATGATCACTGCAACCAGGATCAGGGAGAAGAGGACCATGAGGAAGACATAGGTGGAGTGGGAGAGGGGTGCGGACATTGGCTCTTCAGCTGGAATCTTGTTGGTCAGGTTCAGCATGTAGCCCAAAGTCCACCCAACGCTGGTGCTCCGGATCTGCAAACAGTGGGGAAAGTGTTGTTTCTGGTTTGAGGATTAAATGAGCTTTCATTCAACGCCACCCATAACACTGAACCACCAGAAAGTGAAAGCACCACGTTCAGTTCTCTAAAGGGATTACTTCTATATTTTGAATTGGGAATATGGCTGTGAGGAAACAGGAGCAAGTGATTAGAAGGAGAGTGTGGGGCCTCACTACTGTATTCCCCAAATTCAGAGAGGAATTTGGTGAATGATGGCTCAGTTCTCCTGCCAAGAAGAACTTAATTCAAATTAGGCCTTTGGAAGTTTGCATTCCTCTTTTGCTGTTTGTGTGAATGTGGGTGGGTGGGGTGCGGAAGGGGGCTGGAGGCTGACAGGAAGCAGGCAAAAGATGAGAAACTAATGACTGTCCCTGTCCTTCTGCATCCACGTCAGGCCTAGGAATTTCATCCATACAAAACCAGGATTTCTGTTATGATTCAACTAGGGAAAAACTGGGGGATAATCCCAATCAAGTCAGTCTTACTCGACGGATGTTCAAAGACATTGCATATGCATGAGAAAGGATCATTCTCAGATGAAAAAACATTCTCCAACCCTGCTCTCTTCCTAGGGATATTTTCAAATCACCTCAAAACGTATTGAAATATAGGTAGTCTCTGAATAATAAAGAATTGTGGAAATGTTGCTATTACATGAGTTGTATGTGGTCATGGTAGGAAAATCGCGAAGTACAGATATCTTCTTTTTGAAGATAAAACCACCTCTGCTTCATCACTCAGAGTTGTTGTTATTATCATTTTGTGTCATATCCTACCAATCTCTCTGTGCATATTTTTTGCAGAAAAAAGTGGAATTAAATTGCATGTAGAATTCACTTAACAATTCTTTGTAAGTATTATCCCACATCTCTTTAAGGGATTTCTGCAGCATCATCACTGGTATGAACTGTCTTATATGGTCATTTTTATTCACTTTATTCAATTATTTATAAATCCTAGAAATGGAGTAGTTAGACAAAGTGATGTACATATTTTAAGGCTTCTAGCACATATTGCCAAAACAGTCTTCCCAAAGGTTATGCCAGTTTACATTCCAGCCAATACCATGTGAAATGCTTCTCTCCCCTAAGCCTTTACCAGTACTGGGAATTAATAATTTGTAAAATGCCCACTTCCTTTTATGGGAAACTGGAACTTTATCTGACTGTCTGTGTCAAAGAAGCCTCCAGTTACTGGAGTTATCACCTAGGGTTTAGAAATAACAGATCATAGTTTGTACCTCAGAGAATATAAGTCTGACATAGATATCTCTCTCAAACAGACAAACTATGATGGAACAGAAGGAAAACTTGGATGTTAAAACAAGGAAAAGATTCAAATTAGCAAAGTCAATATTGACAAGAGTGTGATGAAACTAGTATTTTCAAGGCCACCACAGTCCTCTGCCTTAATGCTTTGTTTTGCTTGAAGTCACCATATTTAATAAAGGGGTAAATTGTTTTTGCCATTAATTAGTATGAGTTTAAAAGGTAGAGAAACACTGTCCTTAATATTTTTTCATCAGGCACGAGTGTGCTCATGTGTCTCACTGCCAATGTAAATGTTGCTCCAGGCCTGAATGCCTGCAGGTGATGCTGTGGTAATGCACAGCATGAGGTTGCTTCTTTAAGGCTTATGCTAAGCCTGATTTTTTAAGCAAAGGCCCGCATGCACAGTCACTCCTCTCATTCCTCACAGTGAGCTTTCAGATTGGTCATTCTTAAAGCTTCAACCAACAAGGCCTTCACCCCTTATGAGAAACTATGATCATCCTTTCTGGATTCATGAAGGGGCCCTTGGGTTGGATGTTGAAGTCAGCACACAGAATCACTGTGGCTGTTGAAATGCTGTTATATTACTTTAATATCTCATATTTTGTCTTATAAGGGGTTAGTCACTGTTATATGAGCAGAAAGGTGAGGCTGAGGATGCAAGTAGACCTCCTTAGATAGGAAGCCCACAACTGGCTGGTCAACATACCAGGAGAGCCAGACACGAAATGCCAGCTTGGGTTAGAGGTGAGGTGGCAGAACAGGACATCAGTCCAAAATTTAAACCAGGTTGACTCCTACCTCTTTCAAACTCAAAGCTGTCTCAGTCACTACCAGCCAACTTCCCCCTTAACCCAACAAACCTTGTTCATGAAGTGAATATTTTTCCAGGTCTCATCTGTAAAGTGGTAGCCGTTGAGGAGGAGAGCCAGGATGTAGGTGCCAGAGAAGCAGTATTCACTCAGGTACACCTCCTTCACGTCGCCAAAATTCAGATGCACCTGGAAGCCAAGTGAAGAAAACATCATCCTTGTACAGCAGGCCCTTCTCCTTAGCCGTCACGTTCGCCATGGAGCTGATCAAGGGAGTAGAAAGCCCCAGCTCACATGGGCCTGAAGGTTGGCCTCTGCAGAGGGCTTTGGGAGTGGTGCTGCATGCCTTCGATGGGTGCATGGGTCTTTAGGGTCTGTTAAGGAATCTTTTCCTCCACAGGGTTCTATGACACGTTAATAAGTGCTCCAGGAGGAAAAAAAAAACAAAACAAAACCTAGTTTCTGCGGTCTAATAGGTTCAATAACACTGAATTTTACTATATTTGTTCATCCCTTGTGAAACTTGTATTTCACAATCACATTTCTCATACATATTCAAAACTGTGAAAAAATCTTACATGAAAGAAATCATTAATTTTTGTTTAATGAGCTTGTCCACTTATACACACATCTATTCAATAAATATAGTGTCTGTATTTTCATTTTACAGATCTTTAAGTGTGGGGAAAATTTGATCTTTGTTAAGACATTGCAACATGTAGAATCAAAAGAACTAGGGTTGGAGTCCTGACTCGATCCATACCGCCTGTTTCCTGCCCTTTTGTTGTTGTTTAGTTACTAAGTCGTGTCTGACTCTGCAACCCCATGGACTGCAGCACGCCAGGCTCCTCTGTTCTCCACTATCTCCCATAGTTTGCTCAGACTTATGTCCACTGAGTCAGTGATGCCATCCAACCATCTCATCCTCTTTCTCCCCTTCTCCTCCTGCCCTCAGTCTTTCCTAGCATCAGGGTCTTTTCCAGTGAGTTGACACAGTTAACGTGCGACAAACACTGCTCTGGAACCCAGTTCAGGAAGCATTTTGCTCAAGAATCCAAGATGCTCGTCTTTGTCCACAGATCACCAGCAACTGCAAAAAGCCTCCCCTCTTGTAAAGGGCTGAGACATATCTTAGCTGCTCTTTCTGAAAGCCCTGAATACCCTCCTTCGTGTCCCAACTCAGACAAAATACTTAAGAGAAAATTCCAAATGTCCAGGCTCTTGCATAACCTTCAAATGTCCTGGCTCTTGTACAATCTTCCTTTCTCAGTTGTCAGTGCCCAAGAGAACAGCATTCATTTTCAATTAATCGCATATCTTCAGAATGAAAGCACCGTGCATTTTGCAAGTGTCGACTTAAAACAGCTGCTGTATTTAGCCACTCCTAGGTGATCTGTTTTTTTAGAGCAGAGTTAACTCCATATCTTTCTCTTACGTCCCTGGAAATTTTCATCAGGTAGCACTGCATCTTGAATGACTCAGTGCCTCAGACCAGAAAAAACTTGTGCTTCTATTATAACCAGGATATATATTGAACCTGTCTGATGGAAAAATGGTCTGACCACAGTGGTGTCTGTGGCAGATTCTGTGAGCTGCCTGTCGTCCTCAGGGTTAAGGGAAGTCGTGGAAGACTAATGTGCTCAGCTCCAGGAAGTAGCTCGTCGTGGATCTAGGGCTCTAAACCAGTCGTAAAATCCTGCATCCTGCTTTCTCAGCCAGCCCTGGCCAATGAGATGTAAGAGAAAAGACTACTAAGGAGCTTCTGGGCCAGCTTTTGCTTTCCTGTAAAAAGGAACTGATGTATCTGGGTGTGATCACTGAAGTTACACCTTGCTTCCATGAGGAAAGCGGCCTGACAACAACCGAAGAATGATTGAAGATGGTCAAGCTGCTGAACCCATGCCAGCAACTGCCTATTGCCACACTTCAAATTAAGTGAAAATCATTAAAACCTTTTTTGTTTAATACATTGTATGGCCAGTTATCATGGAATGCCAGTGAGTTTATTCCTAACTGAGTGTACCGTCTGGGCCTCTCTAACATGTGTTGGATCTTGGTCACATTAGCACAACGTAAAGAGCAGACACGTCCTCCCTTCCATCAAGGGCACAGGGCAATGGTAACAATGATAACAGCTGCTGTTTCCAGTTGCTTACCTCTTCCCAACTCTGAGCGCAGAACTCTTCCAACTTCTCAGTCAACTTTTTCGTAGATATATGTTCCTGTGATGTAAGGTTTAAAAACTCCATCACATAGTAAAAAGCTGAAAATGCCTACAAGAGAAAAGTGCGGAGTTTGGTGCAGTGTCCAACACAGAGGGGCATTGATTCACTCTCCAGAAGGCCAAACCCCTAGGGAAAGTGCCTAGAAATCTCTGAGGAATAGATCATCGATCAGGTGATATTCCAGACCCAGGAACTGCTTCCTTTCTGGAAGGTGTCACTTTGCCGCTGACAGGCATTTCTGAGCTCTTCGGTAGCTAATTTTCTCTAAGATCAGGGAGAAAGAAAGAGAATCAGGGAGAAAGAAAGATAGGGAAAAGAGAAGATAAAAGAGAGAGGAAGAGGTCAGAAAAATCCCGTCTTTAAAAAGCTATTATGTATGAATTTTTAATAAATAAAGCCTGGAAAATTCTATACAGAGGTAATGGGAGTGATCTCTAGCAAAATTATAAGGTGTTTTTTTCTTTTTATTTATGAAATTTTGGGCCTATTTTTATAATGTACAAGTACTTTCTTTAAATAGCCAATGTTTATTTAACAGATACTTTTTCCATGTCTATCATGAGCTAGGCACAACTTAAAAGTTTAAAAAAATCATCATCATCATATATGAAAACTATATAAAAAGTTAAAGAGTGAGTTAAAAGGAGTAATGAAAATAAAACCCAAAATAACCAAATGGGACCTTAAAACTTAAAAGCATTTGTACAACAAAGGAAATTATAAACAAAACAAAAAGACAACCTGCAGACTGGGGAAAATATTTGCAAATGATGTGACCAACAAGGGATTAACGTCCAAAATATACAGATGTAAGGCTTAATATATATATATAAAAAAAAATCAAAACATGGTCAGAAGACCTAAGTAGACATTTCTCCAAAGAAAACATACAGATGGACAGCAGGTACATGAAAAGATGCTCAGTATTGCTAATTATTAGAGAAATGCAAATCAAAATTGCAATGAGGTATCACCTCACACCAGTCAAAATGGCCATCACTAAAAAGTCTACAAATAATACATGCTGGAGAGGGTATAAAGAAAAGGGAACCCTCTTGTACTGTTGGTGGGAATGTAAATTGGTGTAGTCACTATGGAGAACAGTAGAGAGGTTCCTTAAAAAAACTAAAAATGGTGTTACCATAAGATCCAGCAGTCCCACTCTTGAGCATATATTCAGAGAAAATTCTAATTTGAAAAGATACATGCACCCCAGATTTCAAAACAGCACGGTTTACAATAGCCAAGACATGGAAGCACTCTAAATGTCCATCAACAGATGAATGGATAAAGAAGATGTGGTATATATACACAATGGAATCATACTCAGCTTAAAAAGAATGAAATAATTCCATGTGGAGCAACATGGATGGACCTAGAGATTATCATACTGCATGAAGTAAGTCAGAAAGAGAAAGAAAAATATCAAATGATATCATTTATATATGAAATCTAAAAAAAAATCATACAAAGAACTTACTTACAAAATAGAAACAGACTCAAAAGACATAGAAGACAAGCTTATGGTTATCAAAGAGGGAAAGTGGGGAGACGGGGAGGGATAAATTAGGAATTTGTTATTAATATATACACACTACTATATATAAAACAGATAAACAAGAAGGACTTACTGCAGAACACAGGGAACTATATTCAATATCTTATAGTAACCTATAGTGGAAAAGAATTTGAAAAAGAATATATTTATATATAAATAAAATCACTCTGATGGCTAATGGGAACACTCTAATGGTTACATGAGAGTCCATAATGTTAATGTATCACAGTTCATTCAACAACTCCCTGCTGGTGAGCATTCCTTTGATTCCGGTATTTTTTCCTATAAGCAATGTTGCTGTCAATACCTCCGTACATTTAGCTTGTGAACTGGTGTGCTCATCCCTCAGTGGAAGATGAGCTCCGTAGACACTCTAAAAGGCAGCCTCCACATCCTTTGAACTTGGGAATTCCAACACTTTAAATATTGTATGCCAGTTACAGAACAAGATCATGGTGTAGTCTTATTTCTATCATCTTAACCCAAGCCATCATCATCTCCTGTGTGGACACTGCAATGACTTCTTGTTGGTCTCCTATGTTACCTTTCTAGTCCTATCCCAACCCATCCTGAACTGGCAGTCATAGGAATCTTTTAAAAACAAATTCAGTCATATCACTCTTCTGCTTACAGCCTTCAGAGACCAAATTCTACCAGATGTCTCAAAGCCACACATGTTCTAACCCCACCTTCTAGACCAATACCATCTCATACCACGGCCCACTCACCCACCACATCCCAGCCACCCAGGCCTTCAAGCATGCCAAACTTTTCTTCCCCCTCAGTTATATAATTGCTTTTCCCTCTATTGGAGTTCACTTCTGTGGCTCCTCTTTAGAGGGATCTTCTAATCACCCACCTAGACTAGGATGCTCTATTAATCCCTCTTACAGTACTTTTTTTCTCCACAGCAGTTGCCACAGTTTGACTTGCTTTGTCTGTATCTCTGGTCTCTTGTCTGCCTGTCCTCTAGAACACCAACTCCATGATGTCAGGATCACATCTGCCTTGGCTCGCAGATGAATCTGCAGCACTCACATGGCACTTAGCACATGAAAGAGTTCTATAAATGTGTAAATGGCAGAAAACTACCCTCTCCTAATTCCTAGAGCACTGGCTAGAATGTAAGAGATACTTGGCAAATCTCTGTTGAGGGACTGGATAAGTCCAGAGAATGGATAGTTATAATATGCATTTTCTGAGGAGCTTGTATGCTCAGTTGTGTCCCACTCTCTGCAACCCCATGGACTATAGCCCACCAGGCTCCTCTGTCCTTGGAATTTTCCAGGCAAGAATACTGGAGTGGATTGCCTTTTCTTACCCCAGGGATCTTCCTGACCCAGGGATCGAACCCAAGTCTCCTGCATTGCAGGTGGATTCTTTACTGCTGAGCCACTGGGGAAGCATAATATGCATAGTGGATGCCGGAAAAGGTTCTCCTCTATTAATTAAAACTATTAAGAGTGTTTTCCCCCAGTGAGCTGATTGTGGGGCAGGAAGGAAGGAAAGACTTAAGTTTTTATTGTAAACTTTATATTTTTATTATAAATAAATTTAACATGAGATCTACCCTCTCAACAAATGTTAATGTATACAGTGAAGTACTGTTAACTCTAAGGACAAAGCTGTACAGTAGATTTCTAGACGTTATCATCTTGCATAGCCGAAACTTTATGCCTATTGATTAGCAACTCCCCATCTCTCGCCTCCATCAAGCCCCTGGCAACCACCATTCTACTCTCTGATTGAGTTTGTAAGTTTGATTATTTTAGATATCTCATGTAAGTGGAATCTGCATTATGTTTCTTTTTGTGAGTGGCTAATTTCACAAAGCTAATGTCTTCAAATGCCATGAAATCAGAAGATGATAGCTTCTTGGCAGGAAAGCGATGACAAACCTAGACAGTATGTTGAAAAGCAGAGATATTACTCTGCTGACAAAGGTCCGTATAGTCAAGGCTGTGGTCTTCCAAGTGGTCACGTATGGTTGTGAGAGTTGGACCATAAAGAAGGCAGAATGCCAAAGAATCGATACCTTTGAACTGTGGTGCTGGAGAAGACTCCTGAAAGTCCCTTGGACAGCAAGGAGATCAAACCAGTCAATCTTTAGGGAGGTAAACCCTGAATATTTACTAGAAGAATTGATGCTGAAAGCTCCAGTATTTTGGTCATCGGATGTGAACAGACGACTCATTGGAAAAGTCCCTGATGCTGGGAAAGATTGAGGGCAGAAGGAGAAGAGGGTGTCAGAGAATGAGATGGATGGACAGCATCACCAATGCAATGAAAATGAACTTGGGCAAGCTCCAGGAGATGGTGAGGGTCAGAGAGGCCTGGTGTGCTGCAGTCCATGGCATCACAAAGAGTAAGACATGACTCAGCGACTGAGCTGATGGTAGCTAATGAAACAATATACTTATAAACTGTGAGTACTATAATTCTTGGTCTTTAGGACCAAAATATGACATTTGAAATAATGAGTAGATCTAGGGGCACCTCTTCAGCCTCTGCTTAAATTTTTTTCTTATTCTGGAATAATGAAGAAAAGAAGGAATTTGGAGTCAGGATTCAAATGGTCCCCCAACTCTTCAAGATGGAATGAACATGACACTATCTTCTTGTTTCCTTGGGACTTACTGAGTTTCTACTTCCTAAGTGTCTCTATAGAGGAAAATCCTTACCTAAGACATCTAACTGCTGCTGCTTCTTCTGACATCTGAGATGCCACCTGTGACAGATTCTAATGGGTGCCTACCCAACAGCCTTACAGATTCCTTACAATCTGGCTTACAGATTCCTGATTTTACCTGGTAGAGGAAAGCAGTTTGCTCAAGAAGGCTCCCCAGTTCCAGGGGATGAACAGTGATTGTCTAAACCAACCATGGTAACCCATTTGCCTTTATCACAGGTTGGTTTACCAAATTCTGGCTAATGGTATCTAAAAAGATGTCTGTTGACACTTCTGCAGAGTTGGAGAGAGATATATGCAAGATAAACTTCTTTCTTTCCTGCATTGGCTTTGCACAAAGCAGTAGCTGCCATCTTAGCACCACAGTAAAGCCAAGAAAATAATTGAAAAGCTGATACCAAGTCCTGACATTGTTAAGCTAAAGAACTAGCCCAGAATTATCTGTCTGAAAGCTTATTACCATGTGAGAAGATAAAGAATCCTGTTATTTAAACCCTTTGGAGGCACATATTTCTATAATTTGCAACCAAAATCATTCTAACAAGTATATCATTATTTCACAAACTTACCCCAAACTGCCCTTGGAGTGGTGGCAAGAAAACCCCATTGAAGGAGCATCTGGAGTAAGGGCAGTAACTTGAGTTAAAGAGTTGAATGATGCCTTGTTGGCATTGTTGGAAGTTTCCAGTGCCACGGACTTCAATGTCAAAGAATGGATGGTATGAAGAACTCGACATATATCTCCTGGCACAGACACCTTCGTTGAAGACACTCATCTTAATTTTCCTCAAGTATCCGGAGTGAAAGCATGGCTCATGGACGATTTCACTTGTACCCTGAGGGGGAAAAAAATCACTTAAAGGCATCACGTGCAAATGCTTTGGACAAAAGCACCAGTCTGACTTCATTAATGTATAGCAACTGAACACCATCCAGGCACTCAGCACTGGCATCAGTAGACCCCTGCTCTGTCTTTTTGACCCTTGGGAATAGTCATATTTGTTTAACAGGCACCAGAAGTGGTATCAGATGTAAATGAATTTTTGCTACTCATAGGAAGCTGATGTGGTTGAAGCTGGGCCCAGAGATTCCACTTGTTTGGATTAGCCCCGAGTACTTAGGTCAGAAGCAGATCCACAAGGAACACTCTCAAGGGTCTCAAAATTCTGAGCCTGAGGTAGTTCTCTGGGGGTCTTCCTATCTCCCCGCCCCCACCTCTAAGCCAAAAGCAAAAATCCCAAGAACTAGAAGTGCCATAAATCGTATTGACACAGGAGCATCAAAATGATTTTCAGCCCACAGCCCAATCTGTTCAAGAGAAGAAAGGGGGCTGCTGTGGACGAGAGGCTTAGTGGAGCCTTAGGGCTGCAGCCCCTCCACCCATGGCAGTCATCTTATTGATAGTGCATAAAGCTTGGGAGGAAAGCAGAGAACTGGTTGTCCCTTGAGTAGAGACAGGGAACAGCTGAATTTGATGTTGTTGCCCTGTATTTGTCAGGGTGTTCTCAAAATCATGCATGATTTTGAGTATGTTTAACTATTCTTGCCTTCAAAGTGGAAAAAGTGTCTGGGACAAGATTTGTACCATTGATCAATAAAGTCAGTATTTTCCCTTAAGTCTTTTTTCCTCCTCCTCTCCAGCTTTTTTTTTTTTTTTAAAGAACCTTGTTTTCTGCATTTTGTAGGAAGTGGAGATTGAAAAGTGGGGAAGAGCTTAAAAATTGCATGCATGCACACACACACACATACAATACTCTAGGCTTTTCATTGTCAGCTCCACAAGGATGAGAAATAATTTCCAAAGAAAGGATTTGAGTCATGTTCTTGGAGACAGTGCAGTAAACAAACATACGAGGTGATGTCTAGATGGGACAGTTGACAGGGATTGACCAGATGTTCTTAGATATCCTCCCTGAAAAAGTTTGGAAAGTACAGCAACCAACTTCAGACCAGTTATGCAGTAGAAATAGAAAACAACAAGATGTGGGGGCTGGAGGCCCCCAGTTGTTGGGAGGGTAGTCTGGATTCAGTTATACTTGCCTGAAGTTCCAGGGCCAGTTTCTGCAAGAGTGCTTGGTCCTTCCCATAGCACAGGAAGCTGTGTGTGTACACACTGTAGTTCTTGCCATAGAGGCGAAAGTACAGGTTGTTGTTTGGAGACTCGATCATTTCATTTTGGGGCACAAAAGTGATTTGTGTAGAGGCTCCCCCAAGGTCTAAAGCTCCATAGGTTTCCTGAGTATCATCTTTGCTTGGCTTCAGGTTAAACCAACTCAATTTCTGAAAGACAGTACAGTCACCAGCTGTAGAAGCCTCTGTACATCTCCCTTTTCATATGATTTCTTGGACTCAAGGACTTCCTAAGGCACAGGAGCAGGAGCATAAGGGTGATACCAAGCTTACCAGAGGTTCCTGCTGCTGCTGCTGCTAAGTCGCTTCAGTCGTGTCCGACTCTGTGCGACCCCATAGACGGAAGCCCACCAGGTTCCCCCGTCCATGGGATTCTCCAGGCAAGAACACTGGAGTGGGTTGCCATTTCCTTCTCCAATGCATGAAAGTGAAAAGTGAAAGTGAAGTTGCTCAGTTGTGTCCGACTCTTAGTGACCCCATGGACTGCAGCCTACCAGGCTCCTCCGTCCATGGGATTTTCCAGGCAAGAGTACTGGAGTGGGGTGCCATTGCATTCTCCGGAGGTTCCTGAGTCTGCATCAAATCAACAGCAAGAAAAGAGGGGCTTCAGAGACTCAGCTCAGATTGTAGCAATCCAGGGCCAGTTTACAACCGGGGGCCACAAAGACTCAAATTCAAATCCCCACTCATTTGCTCATTAGCCACGTGACCTTAGGCAGAATAGTTACCTTGCTAGGCCTCCATTTGTGGCTTTTCAATGAGAGAACATCTCCTATAAGTATTCCAAAGATTAAATCAAATGGTATATGAAAAATGCTTTGCATGTAGCACAAGACACATAGCACTGGGAAAATAATTGATATCTTTATTTTCAATGATAGATTTTTAAGTTTTCTGTGTGTGCGTGTGTGCATACAAAGTCACTTCAGTCCTGTCTGACTCTTTGCAACCATAAGGACTGTAGCCCACCAGGCTCCTTTGTCCATGGGATTCTCCAGAAGAAGAAGACTGGAGTGGGTTGCCATGACCTCCTCCAGGGGATCTTTCAGACCCCGGGATCGAACCCATATCTCTTATGTCTCCTGCACTGGCAGGCGGGTTCTTTACCACTAGCGCCACTTGGGAAGTCTGATTTTTCTACATTTCTATATTTTTAGTTTTTTCTTTATCTCTGTAAGGTGAAGTTATGGCTCCCTTATTCTCCGATAGTAAGAGTAGTTGTAAGAGAATTATACCTCTGGTGACCCTTGCACATATGCGGGGAAGTTAATTTGCTCACTTACCCATCAGTCATTCTGCTTAGTGATCCAGGTATTTCCTGAGATATGTCAATGGCATTGACCCCAGGGAGCCACCTCCCTGGGTGCTGTGAGATAATCACCTGAGTGAATTTGCCCAGCAAATAGTTGACAGTAATCCAGCCATAGGCACCTTCCTCCTGGCCACTGATGATTCTGGCACCTTGGAAGTCAAAGGGGTACTTGTTGATGCTGTTTGCAACCGCATCCAGGATCTTGTCTGCCATCTGTTGATTTTCCATCCTGCACAAAGAGCTGAGGTTACTGGTTTTGTTTGAATAACTACAACTACCCACTGCAGCCAGAGCTTCCAGCCTGTGCTACTAGGAAGCTGAACCACAAACTCAATGGAATAAACAGACAGATGGAGATCCCCACACATGGCTGTCTGAGGAGCCCTCCCTTGGGGTGAGGCATAACTACTCTTTTGGCCCCCTCTCTCCAAATCCAAATCCTTCCAATCCCTATGTAGGTTGGTCCTCTTACTTTTTTTTTTTTTTATGAGAAACAAAGACCATACAATAATTTAGTGTACAGGATTTAATCCTGATTTTCACAAAATAATAAAAGTACTTAAATATATTTTTTAAAGTCTTTACAAATTCAAACCACTTTGAATAATAACAGAAATTTCAGATTCGGATTTGCCAAGATAAAATTTTCCCCTGCAAATTTTCAAATGAAAGAGACATTTGGTCAGCTTGAAATAAAATCCTAAGAGCACCACATCATAAAAAACAAAGAAACAAATTTTAAAAATACAGCTGTAACCAGAATGATGCCCGTAAAATTCAGTAGTAGTAATTATCATTAGAAATGTTCTGTTCAGTTCAGTTCAGTCACTCAGTCGTGTACGACTCATTGCGACCCCATGAACTGCAGCATGCCAGGCCTCCCTGTCCATCACCAACTCCCAAAACTTGCTCAATCTCATGTCCATTGAGTCAGTGATGCCGTCCAACACTCTCATCCTTTGTTGTCCCCTTTTCCTCCTGCCTTAAATCTTTTCCAGCATCAGGGTCTTTTCCAATGAGTCAGTTCTTCACCTAGCTGGCCAAAGTATTATAGCTTCAGCTTCAGCATCAGTCCTTCCAAAGAAATGCTCTGAGAAATCCCCCAAAGCCTTTGAAATCAGCAAAGAATGATAAAGGGCATTCTCAACCTAACCTCAGAGGATTAATGCAAATATAAGCTTTTTAATTTTTCAGAAGCATTTGTGTTGATTTTGTAGTTCTTAAATGCTATATAGGATTCACTGCTGCTGCTGCTGCTAAATCACTTCAGTTGTGTCCGACTCCGTGTGACCCCATAGACAGAAGCCCACCAGGCACCCCCATCCCTGGGATTCTCCAGGCAAGAACACTGGAGTGGGTTGCCATTTCCTTCTCCAAGGTTAGTCCTCTTAAAAGACCATTTTCATTGCTGTTGCCTGGCTCCAGGAAATTATCAGAGTAATTTTAATTACTGTGATGGTGGTAGCTGGATATTGCTTGATCACCAAACCCAGAGCTGAGGTGTGCTACATTAGCTATTGATGGAGGCTTTGAGCTGCTTACACAGCCTCAGGACTCTCTTTGAGGTTTTTAATTAGGGCTCCAGTAAATTCCAGGTGGTAAACATCCTGAGACAGATAACCAAGCTCAGTTGGTGCCAGACTGGTTAAAAAACAAAAAAACCAAAAAAAACCTTCCTCATATTGTGCCTTGGTTTTGGGGTTTGAAATCTTGAGATCTAAAGTAGAAATCTTCCAGGGTTGTCATAATGAAGATGGACTACAACTGCTTTCACCAAGGATTGCATGCTCAGCCGTGTCCGACTCTTTGTGGCCCCATGGACTGTAGTCCACCAGACTCTGTCCATGGGATTTTTCAGGCAAGGATACTGGAGTGGGTTACCATTTCCTTCTCCAAGGGATCTTCCCAACCTGGGGTCAAATCCATGTCTCTTGTGTTTCCTGTATTAGCAGGTGGATTCTTTTACCACTGCACCACCTAGGAAGCCCTTCCAAGATCTAGGTAATACAATACTGAGAGTCTCTGGGTCAGAAAATGCTGCCTTCCAACTGGCATTAGACTCCATAATTTCTCAGCTGAATGCCTTCCATACCCTACCAACTGGGCTCCTTATCCCTAGTTTTCCTCCTTTCCAATCCACCTCTCTACCAATGTGCATGGTACACTGCATGGCAAATAGAAGGGGAAAAGGCAGAAGTAGTGACAGATTTCCTCTTCTTGGGTTCCAAAATCACTGTGGATGGTGACTGCAGCCATGAAATCAGAAGACGTTTGCTTCTTGGTAGGAAAGCTATGACAAACCTAGACGTGTGTTGAAAAACAGAGACATTACACTCTGCCGACAAAGGTTTGTACAGTCAAGGCCATGGTCTTCCCAGTGGTCACATACGGTTGAGAGTTGGCCCACAAAGAAAACAAAAACCAAAGAATTGATGTCTTCGAACTGTGGTGCTGGAGAAAAGTCCTGAAAGTCTCTTGGACAGCAAGGAGATCAAACCGGTCAATCTTTAGAGTGATAAACTCTGATACTGGAAGGAGTGATACTGAAGCTGAAGCTCCGGTATTTTGGTCATCTGATGCTAACAGACTACTCATTGGAAAAGTCCCTGATAATGGGAAAGAATGAGGGCAGAAGGAGAAGAGGGTGTCAGAGGACGAGACGACTGAATGGCATCACCAATGCAATGCCAATGAACTTGGGCAAGCTCTGGGAGATGGTGAAGGTCAGGGAGGCCTGGCGTGCTACAGTCCATGGGGTTGCAAAGAGTCAGACATGACTGGGTAACTGAACAACAACCTGTGTCACCAGTTGTGTAGCATCCTTTCATGGCTTCCCATTATTTCCCAGATAAACTCCAAACTCCTTGGCATGGCCCATGAGGCACTTTGTGATTTGAACCTTGCCCTCTTGGAGTCCCACTCAGAACCTGGTTCGACCACTTGCCAGATGTGTGACCTTTGGTGAGTTCCTCAACATCTGTACACCACAGCTTTCTTAATCTGGTTAATAATAGCTAATGGTGCCTCTTACTTTGTAGAGTTACAGAGATTAAAACATAGTGCTGAGAACATAGGAAGGGCCCAGCAAATACAAGCATCTACCACTATTATTGTCACTATTGACATTTACCCTATGCACCCTGTGTTCCATTTGTGCAGAACTGTCTCTAGTCCTCTGAACAGGCCCTGGTCTCTCACATATCCCTCCTGGGAACAGTGATTAGAACACAAGATCCATGAAAAGGAGGGACTTGTGCCTGACATATAATAGGTGTCCAACAAACATAGGTTATGTAATACATGACATTTACTTGGCCTGTGATGCCCTTCTCCCAACCTCCAACAAGCCCTCAATGATTTGGTTCATGTACTCCTCCTCTGGTGAGTCTTCTTTATCTCCTCCTATCCTTGGCAGGGACAGGTATGCTCCCATAGCAGCTCTGAGCACTCCTCTAGCAAAGAATTGGTCACCCTGTATCGAAACTCGGATCTTGGGAGATGAATAGTCTACTCCCATGTCCTGGGACAGAGGAGGCGGTCACTACACAGTGAATGAACGAATGTACAAACAAATGAAAAAAAAATGTCTAATAGGTACTAAGCGGTGACCAATAATGATGTGCTGTGACGATACGTGTCTTGGGACATCTGTGATCTCCTCTGGGTCTCCTACTCCCAGATATGGAATGGCTGCTAAATCCGTTACCCCAAATCTCAGAGTACACAGGCTCAATCTTTGTCTCCTTGTGTCATCACTCCCTTGAATTCCCTGTGGGGAGATCAGCAAGAGGGCTTTTTTTTTAAACATATGTAAACTACCATTATTATACACACAAAGACTTTGGGAATATTATCTGTTCACTGAGATTTTCTTTCTTAGGTGTGGACATCTAGCATATCTAGAATTGTGTTAAGAAGTGTGGCATTTGCTCATAGTTGAGAGGCTCTAGTGCAACCAAGCCTAACTCCCAGTAGCTCTCAGCCCCTACAGGCTGCGATACCTGAGCAACCGCATGCCGGCCGTGGCGCCCAGGTAAACAGGAGTTTCTGGGTGCTGGGCTGATGGGATCACCTTCCTGGCTCTTTCCATGCACGCGGTCAGATAAACATTGATTTCATGTAATTTCTTAGCAAAGCCTGAGATTCCGGGACCTAGAAAAAGATGTAGAAGCAGATGAAAATTGTTTTTAAAAGTAAAGGACATATCGTCACATTATTAGAGAAAATAGTGATGTTTTCTGAGAAAATGCAAGCAGATAATTTCTTTTTTTTTTTTTAATATTTATTAGGTTTTGGTGGGCTTCCCAGGTGTCGCAGTGGTAAAGAATTCACCTGCCAAGCAGGAGACCAAGCAGGAGACCCAGGTTTGATCCCTGAGTTGGAAAGAGCTAGAGATAGAAAAGGCAACTCATTCCAGTATTCTTGCCTGGGAAATCCCATGGAGAGAGGAGCCTGGCAGGCTACAGTCCACTCCGTTGCAAGTCAGATGTGACTTAGCAACTAAACAACAACATTAGGTTTTGTTATTTAAAGGGTAACTCACTGAATCTAACCTTGGTAGGATTTATTGTCACACCTCGAGCTAGTTTTGTTTGCTGTTCAATAATTTTGCCACTGGATGGTGCAATTTTCACATTCAATGACATAACCTTCCTAAAAACAGGCTCTCAGATTTTAATGGGGATATTATAGATAACTATATATAGCTGCTTTATGATGTTTCTTCCACAAAATTGTAGTTAGAAACACTAATTCCTAGAAGACCAGAAAGATGAAAGTTAACATTTAGAATAAAAATTAAAATATTCACCAGGCACATGGGCTTTTACTGAAAAGATAGGAACAGCTACTAACTGGCTACGTAATTGTGGCCTGTCCCTTAAAATTTCTGAAGCAAAATTTCTTGCTTTGTTAGAAAAAACAGGAATAGTATCCATGATTCCTCAGCAATTTTCCCATTCTCGATATCCTGACTGCCTAGCAAAACTGTTTATCCAGTTTTAGAGCCTTTTAAACTGTTGCTATGGAGAGGATTAGAGCCAAGATTCCTTAAATTTTTTGAAGTTAGTACAACAATTTTGGCTCACTCTAAGCTAAAAATCTACATTTTCAATGCTTTATAATAAGGATTTGCTTTACAGTAAGTATCCAGATCTTATCCATCTGCTGCTATTGTTTAGTTGCTAAGTGGTATCTGACTCTTTGTGACCCATGAACTGTAGCCCGCCAGGCTCCTCTGTCGATGGGATTCTCAGGCAAGAATGCTGGAGTGGGTTGCCATTTCCTTCTCCAAGGGATCTTCCCGACCCAGGAATTGAACCTGCATCTCCTGCACTGGCAGAGGGATTCTTTACCACCTAGCACCTAGGAGGTCCCTATCTTATCCATATCATTCACCAGTATCATTCACCAAATTTTAAACAGCCTGTCCACTTCACTGTAATAAGAAAAATCAGCTCCAAGTTATCAGCTAACTGCTTTGATTCCAAAAAGTCTGGCCTTCAGTAACTAGTGGCTCTCAACTCAACCTTTCTGTTTAAATATTTGATTAGAGAACTCTCTCCCTTTCTCTCTTTTGAGAAGGGAAAATTACTGCATTTATTAGGCCAAATATGCATGGAATAAATCTCCATAGATAGCTGCTAGGTTAACACAGCAACACTACTTTAAGAAATGGAAGGCAGTGAATAATTAAATAGAAGTCAATAAAATGAGGGATTTGGGTTTTAAGAAATGTTTGAAATACTATCTCAGAATTTATGGGACCAAACTGAGGACATTAGGCACTGGGTACCATGACTCGCTGTCTTAGAAACACCTCCTATTTACAGCTTTCCTGACAAACTATGAAAAGTCAATTATCTCCTGGGGCATGGGTAACCTGTCTGACTAAAACTAAACAGTAGGTCCCTGGCTCCAAAGGCCAAGAGAGAAGTCCGAAGATGACAGTGCCATGTGGTAACATTAGGTGCATGCTGGAGTGTTGGATGGGAGGGAGCAGAAGGAGCTGTTGTCAACAACTCTGTCTTGTTTTGTGACCTTAAAAGAAAACTGACTAGGAAAAAAACTCAGCATGCAATGCAGAGTAGCAGGAAACCTGGAGTTGTAACTAGGAGGTGAGATTCTTTTTTTTTTTTAATTTTTCATTTACTTTTAGTAGTTGGAGGCCAATTATTTTACAATATTGTAGTGGTTTTTGCCATACATTGACGTGAATCAGCCATGGAGGCGAGATTCTTGTCCTAGATCTGTTCCTACTTGCAAGTCACTTGACTTTCAGATTTTTTGCTTCCTTTTCTGTAAAACAAGATTTCAGTGATCCACAGGATCTTTTTTGCAGCCGTAAGGGTCTATGATTTGCCTGCTTATACAGAAGCTAAAGGCTTATAGAAATTTCTTCCAAGCCTCAAATTATAGGACAAAGATTGAAAGCAGCAGTTCTCTGGACCAGCAGCATCAGCATCGTCTGGGAGCTTGTTAGAAATGCAAACTCTCACAAGTGCTCGGGCCTGGTGCACTGGGAAGACCCAGAGGGATTGGGTGGAGAGGGAGGTGGGAGGGGGGACCGGGATGGGGAATACATGTAAAAAAAAAAAAAAAAAAAAAAGATACACTATGGTCGTGATAAAAAAAAAAAATAAATAAATAAATAAAAAATAAAGACAATGTAGAAACACTGAAAAAAAAAAAAAAAGAAATGCAAACTCTCAGACCTTGTCTCAGACCTACTGACTCAGAAACTCTGGGGTGAGAGCAAGCATCTGTGGTTCTGATGCAGGCTCAAATTTGAGAACCACTATCTAACATGTGGGTTTAAAGTTGTGCATATCTTTGCCCAGCAAAGGAAACCACCAACAAAAAGAAAAGACAGCTACTGAATAGGAGGAGATATTTGCTCATGAGATGACCGATAAGGTTTTAGTTAAATTGGAGATCTCAGTTTGAGCTCCAGTTCCATCACTTACTAGCTCAAGTAACCATAAACAAGTGGCATAACTTCTTGAAACCTCAGTGCCCTCATTAAAAAAAAAGAAACAAAAAACAAAAAAAACAACAGGAATACATTCCTTATAGGGAGATTGTGAGGATGAAATAACGCATTTTCAGTACTTGGTGCATAGCACACAGAAGTGTCCTGTTGACGGGAGCTATTACCCAATTATTCTAAAGTTTATTTTTCAAGGGCTTTATCATTAAGGACTGATTCCAATACTATTTTATAATGATAATAAATTATTTCTAAAATAGCAACAATAGCAGGTCCACTACGTTCTCACTTGACGTCTTTTCCTCGTGTGTTTCACTTGTCACATGCCTCTCGTTCTCTCGTGCCCACTGTCTCCCAGCCCCTTTTTCTCCGTCTTACCTTTTAGCTTGCATTCTTCTATCTGAGTCACCACCCCCGTGTCATTCTCCTTTTCTGCCGGCCATCTATAGATGTACAAACTCGTGTGAGAGGAGCCCGCATCCAGCACAATCCCAAACTGAGGGCAAAACAAACCGAGAACTTGTCAGCATTACATCGTCCTTTTCCACATTCAGCTTGCAACAGAAAGGATACAAAGACAGGGGCTTTCAGAAACAGGAGGAGAAAGTATTTCAACTCATGGTGAGGGTGGGTCAGGTTTTGAGGGAGTGAGTGCGTGGAGTTGTGCTGATCACAAGATCTACCAACACACCAGTCCCTCTAGAACTATGGCTCTCAGCGTGAGCTGCATGTTAGCAATATCCAGGCTTTACCCAAGGAGGGGCCTGCCATTGGAAGCTTCTCAGGTGATCAATATACTGAACTAGCTGAGACAATAGAAAGGGAATAGAAAGCAATTAATCCAGCAGTTCCCAAGCCTGGAATCATGTTAGAATCATCTGAAGAGTTTCAAAGGCTACTGCTGCCAATGTCTGACCCCCAGATTTGTGATTTGATTGGTCTGGTATGTATGAGGTCTGGAAGAGAGATATTGAAAATATTAAGTGTACCTGTTTTTTTAATTACAAATATAACTATAAATTGTATTCAATAAATTTTAAAAGATTTGTACTTTGATTTCATGATTTTGGTTCTTAAGCATAGAAGCCTTGGAAGGAAGAATAAATAAAGCAAAGGAAGAGGGTAGAGGAGGAAGGGTAAGAAGACAATAAGAGAAAGAATGAGGTGGCCAGAACAGAAAATTGCCACTTCATATTTCACGAGGATGGGAAATGCACCAGCAAGTGTTGTGAGGAGTATTCTATAAGAATTATCTGACTTAACCTTCAGTGCTATAAAGTATGTACTGTTTTCATCCCCAATATACAGATGAGAAATGAAAGTACAAAGATGTTAAGTAATTTCCTCAAGATACAAAGTGATTAGCTGAGGGAGCCTGGATTTGGATCAGAGTTAGACCTAACAAAGGCCTTGTGTTTCTAACACAGAGGAACAGAGGAGCAAGGTCTGGACAATAGTTTTCCAATTGGTGCCTCATTGAAAGGACTTCTAAAGAGGGATGACTATAGCAAAGTGTCCTAATAAATTTTTGCACATATGCCCATCCATATAAATCACCACCAAGATGAAGGTCAGTTCAGTCGCTCAGTCGTGTCTGTTTGCAACTTCATGAACCGCAGCACACCAGGCTTCCCTGTCCATCACCAACTTCCGGAGCCCACCCAAACTCATGTCCATTGAGTCAGTGATGCTATCCAACCATCTCATCCTCTGTTGTCCCCTTCTCCTCCTGCCCTCAATCTCTCCCAGCATCAGGGTCTTTTCAAATGAGTCAGCTCTTTGCATCAGGTGGCCAAAGTTTTGGAGTTTCAGCTTCAACATCAGACCTTCCAATGAACACCCAGGACTGATCTCCTTTAGGATGGACTGGTTGGAGCTCCTTGCAGTCCAAGGGACTCTCAAGAGTCTTCTCCAACACCGCAGTTCAAAAGCATCAATTCTTCGGCACTCAGCTTTCTTCACAGTCCAACTCTCACATCCATACATGACCACTGGAAAAACCATACCTCGACTAGATGGACCTTTGTTGGCAAAGTAATGTCTCTGCTTTTTAAAATGCTGTCTAGGTTGGTCATAACTTTCCTTCCAAGGAGTAAGCGTCTTTTAATTTCATTGCTGCAATCACCATCTGCAGTGATTTTGAAGCCCAAGAAAATAAAGTCTCTCACTGTTTCCACTGTTTCCCCATTTATTTGCCATGAAGTGATGGGACTAGATGCCATGATCTTAGTTTTCTGAATGTTGAGCTTTAAGCCAACTTTTTCACTCTCCTCTTTCACTTTCATCAAGAGGCTCTTTAGTTCTTCTTCACTTTCTGCCATAAGGGTGGTGGCATCTGCATATCTGAGGTTATTGATATTTCCCCCGGAAATCTTGAGTCCAACTTGTGCTTCTTCCAGCCCAGCGTTTCTCATGCTGTACTCTGCATATAAGTTAAATAAGCAGGGTGACAATATATAGCCTTGATGTACTCCTTTTCCTATTTGGAACCAGTCTGTTGTTCCATGTCCAGTTCTAACTGTTGCTTCCTGACCTGCATACAGGTTTCTCGAGAGGCAGGTCAAGGGGCCTGGTAGTCCATCTCCTTCAGAATTTTCCACAGTTTATTGTGATCCACACAGTCAAAGGCTTTGGCATAGTCCATAAAGCAGAAATAAATGTTTTTCTGGAACTCTTTTGCTTTTTCAATGATCCAGCGGATGTTGGCAATTTGATCTCTGGTTCCCCTGCCTTTTCTAAAACCAGCTTGAACATCTGGAAGTTCATGGTTCATGTATTGCTGAAACCTGGCTTGGAGAATTTTGAGCATTACTTTACTAGCATGTGAGATGAATGCAATTGTGTGGTAGTTTGAGCATTCTTTGGCATTTCCTTTCTTTGGGATTAGGATGAAAACTGACCTTTTCCAGTCCTATGGCCACTGCTGAATTTTCCAAATTTGCTGGCATATTGAGTGCAGCACTTTCACAGCGTTATCTTTCAGGATTTGAAATAGCTCAGCTGGAATTCCATCACCTCCACTAGCTTTGTTTGCAGTGATGCTTCCTAAGGCCCACTTGACTTCACATTCCAGGATGTCTGGCTCTAGGTGAGTGATCACACCATCGTGATTAACTGGGATGTGAAGATCTTTTTTGTACAATTCTTCTGTGTATTCTTGCCACCTCTTCTTAATATCTTCTGCTTCTGTCAGGTCCATACCATTTCTGTCCTTTATCTTTGCATGAAATGTTCCCTTGGTATCTCTAATTTCTTGAAGAGATCTCTAGTCTTTCCCATTCTATTGTTTTCCTCTATTTCTTTGCATTGATCACTGAGGAAGGCTTTCTTATCGCTCCTTGCTATTTTTTGGAACTCTGCGTTCAAATGGGTATATCTTTCCTTTTCTCCTTTGCTTTTGGCTTCTCTTCTTTTCACAGCTATTTGTAAGGCCTCCTCAGGCAGCCATTTTGCTTTTTTGCATTTCTTTTTCCTGGGGATGGTCTTGATCCCTGTCTACTGTACAGTGTCACAAACCTCCGTCCATAGTTCATCAGGCACTCTGTCTATCAGATCTAGTCCCTTAAATCTATTTGTCACTTCCACTGTATAATCATAAGGGATTTGATTTAGGTACACAACATTCTCTAGTCCCCATTTTCTGGTGCCCCTCTCAGTCGGCTTCCCCCACTGGAAGCCAGTCTTGACTTCTGTCACCATGGAGGAGTTCTGCCTGGTTTTGAACTGCAGTAAATGGGCTCAGACAGTATGCCTCCCTGATGTCTCACTTCTTTCATTCTACAAGTCTCTAAGATGCATTCAGGTTGTGAGTATCCATAGTCTGTCCCTTGTCGTTTCTGTGGAGTGCTTCATTATATGCATGCACTGTATGTTTATCCATTCCACTGTTGGACATTGGAGTGGTTTCCAAATGTGAAAATCATTTTGTGGGCTTAAGCACCCATTTATTTCAGGTATTTACGCAGGAGTAGACTGCCCAATGGTCTTCCCACGTGGCGCTAGTGGTAAAGAACCCACCTGCCAATGCAGGAGATATGAGATGTGGATTCAATGCCTGGGTTGGAAAGATCCCCTGGAGGAGGGCATGGCAACCCACTCCAGTATTCTTGCTTGGAGAATATCATGGACAGGGGAGGCTGGTGAGCTACAGTCCATGGGGTAACAAAGAGTTGGACAAGACTGAAAGAACTTAGCACACAAGCAGACTGCCCAATGCCCATTTTGAGCAATTAATACTCATCTTTGGTGACATCCCTGGGTTTAATCAGGAAAATAAATGACATGGTTACTAATGTCTGCCACAAGCTTGTGAAGAGAGTATGGTGGCTCGGGTACCTTTTATTTGTCACCCCTATCCTAGAGAGAAACATGAAGCAAAGTAAATGGAAGGGAAAGGAAAGTTACAGGATGAGAAACCAAGGAGGTGCTTCTCAAGTGTGAGCCAGCCACTCACTTGAGTCACACTTTGCTGCCCATCTGAGCTGCAGACTTCACAGTGTGGTCTGCCACTTGACACTGCTTAAGTCAGCAGTTGTTTTACATCTATCGCCTCATATTGTCTTATCACCTGGGAAGAACCTAAGAGCCTCCAGGGAGAAAAGAAGAATTAGAATTAACTGACCTCCCTGAACCGCTGCAGAGAGCTAAATGTCAAGCTTATTGAGGTGTCAAGTTTTCTTCCATTTTGCCACCAGAGAGTGCCACTGTCCTGGTGTCCTCCCTGACCTTCCATAACCTCCACAGTGCTCTCTGCCCCCTTTTGCACACTGGGACTTCCCTATGGTGACCAGCATTACACCCTTATAAAGAAAAGGGCCTGCGTGCTGGTTTTGGGCACGGTGAAGAAGGAAATGGCACAGACTCCTCTGCAACTAGGCCTGCAGTGAGATCAAACCAACAACCGCCTGACCTGATGACCGCTGTGGACAGACAGGAATCTAACTGAGGTCTGGGGCCTCTGAACCCGCGGGAAACCTCCCAGCATGGAGAAAGAGCTTCAGGGTTTACATGGCAGAAAATCCTGCTTTTCCCTAGCAGGGTCCCTGAATTCTTCCTGCTAGAAAATGTTCTAACCACAGAAGTACATGATAAAAGCTAGCAAGGCAGCAGTGCAAGCAGCCTTACTCTGAAATCAGGATGTTCTATTCTGTCTACTCTGTTGACATGAAAGTTACTCTTCCAGTAGAACAGAGGGACCAGGCTTGCTCCTATCAGCCTGTTTCACCAAGGCCTTACACAGTGAGGTGGTTGAGAAACGAAAACTTTCACCACATTTCATTTGACAAGTGCTTGAGAAGGGCAGGTAGAGCGACTTTAACACAGGAATTGACATATACATTTCACCTTATATATATAGCAACTAAACTGTTTTATTGTACTAAATTTTGTTTTTTGTCTTCCAAAATGGATTGCACACATACACACACACAAATTGGCATCGCTTGCTGTTTTATGGATAGGTAAAGCTTGATTGTCTGAAAATTCTTAAATTTGAAC